AGGATGAATTCTGAAGTGTTTCAGGCAATATTTTCTGCTCATATTAAGCCAAATGCTTCAGAATTCATTGGACGGTACTTCACAGTGCAGATGAAAAATGACCCAAAGCACACTGCAAAAGCAACCAAAGAGTTTTTGAAGGGAAAGAAGTGGAGTGTTATGCAATGGCCAAGTCAATCATCTGACCTGAATCAAATTGAGCATAGATTTTACTTGATGACGGCAAAATCGAAGAAAAAATGTTCCAAGAACATGCTGTATTCAGGCTGTTATTGACTGCAAAGGATTTGCAACCAAGTATTAAAAAGTGAATGCTTAATTTATGATTATCATTCTGTCCAATTACTTTTACTTTACTGTACAATTAATTTTTGCACAAATGCAATCTGTTGTAATTCCTACAGTGTTCATCTGATTTGCATGTAAATACTTTTTTAAAGCTTTAAAGCTGAGAGTCTGCAGTTAAGGCACATCTTGTTCCTTTTATTTCTAATCCATTGTGTTATATGTGTATAATATGTGTCCATATGTGTTGGTGTATAGAGCCAAAAATGTTTGAATTGTGTCGATGTCCAAATATTTATGGACCTAACTGTATATCGCAGAAAAACTAAATATTGCAATGTCAGATTTTTCCAATGTTGTGCAGCCCTATAGCAGGGGGCATGGTTAAGAATATTGTGGCTCAAGCTGTTAAACTGACGTTTATAGAGAAGGACCACCAATCCAATTACGCAAATGGTCAAATTATGAATGAACATTACCAAAACAAACATATTTTTCAATGCACAGATTAATCACTCACCTAAAGAATAATAATTTGCGATCACAAAATAAACATTGTTGATTTCGATTTCAAATAGACTTGAACCTTCTCATTGCGTAAGCTAGCTTGACTATCATCAGCAAAATTAATTATAGTTGCATACTCAGACTCATATATCAAAGACAGCAAAGTTCACCACTCCTAAGTATCTCCTTGTACCCCTTTCCTTAAGCCTGGGAAATAAAGGCTTAGCTGAGTCTGTACAGCATGCAAAGTGCTATCTCTGCATTTAATGCTTGTGAAAGAGAGAGGAAAAAAACACTTAGAGTAAGAGGCCAAAGTCAGCACACTGCACTCCACTCAATGTGTGTGTGTGTGAGCTCTAGACGGAGTAAAATAAGGGTGGTGGCTGCATAAATAATATATCTTTAAGACTGACATTCACATCTCCGACCGAATTGAGAGTCTTCAATGCTTGCATGACCGGCAGAGCCGACACAGACATTTACTGTGCAGCCACTCAGAAGATTAGACAGCATCTATGATACAGGCTAGTGGTTATGATGCTGCATTATGACAGATTGGTTTACAGGCTTCATACAAGACGGACGGATGAGATTTAAGGTAATGGAGCACTCCAGATGCTCTGAGTGTTTCTAAAAGGTTACAGAAGAAGTGAAGCAATGCCTTGCTGTGCAATTCTATCACACCACCATTCACATTTCTCCAGCTAAAAACAAAGAGGAATTTGCCTTTTGGAATGCTTTTCTAATTCAATTTGAAACCACTCGCAAAGGGTTTTGTTTGTGGATTCCTGATTTACACAAACCTTAGTTGGACAATGGAAAGACATGGTGTATGACTGCCCAGCAGACACACAACGTCACAAGATTTTATTGTTAGGTTAGATTTAGGTTGCCAGCATCTAAGAACAATGTTATCTTAACGACCAAAAATGCTGTGAAACGACATCTATATTTGGTTGATTTTAGGTCGTGTTGTGACCAAAATCCAACGTTGAGCCAACACATTAAACCAACATCATGTTGATGTCAAATACTGACATTTATTCATCAGGTATGGAAGCAAAATCCAACATCTGATAGACGTCATTTTGGTAATGTCCACACAATGTCAAGCTGTAACATCATTAGATGTTGATATGCTGTTGTTTTTAGATCGCATTGGAAAGCAACCAAAATTCAACAGCCTGATGTTAGGGTCTGACGTTCAATTTTCAACAAAATGCAACATCCCATGACGTTGGGGTACAACGTCAATCTGATGTAATGTTGACGTCATGTGTCTGCTGGGTAATATCTTAACATGTAAGACATCAAAATTAACTTGTAGACTGGTAAATTCACTTAGACTGGACACATGTATGACATTTACACCGTTTTTATAATTATTAATGGTTACACAACATCCACCATGTCTCAAGAATAACAGTTGATTCAAAGGACTTTATTCTGTTCCTCTGCCATTCCCATTATAATGCTTTGGACTGCCTTCAAGTGACTACAGAATTAAGAATATTTAGGGACAGGGAAGCCAACATAGGAATAAATACAATACAGCTCAATGCAAAATCAAATCAAATGTCTTTTCATGGTAATGAGAACAGTTGTTCACAAACTGCATTATCTGGTCCCTAGTAAAAAGAATTGAGACTTTAAAAAACTGGTAACAAAAGTACTTCAGAATGCATGTGTCTCTGGCCAAGCAGTCTTGGTCAGGAGCATTTCTGTCGCTTCATTTGGGGACATACGCATCTTAACTGCATTTACAGTACTGTATCCTGGAACGGAATCATGGTATTTACAACAAAAGCTTAATTTTTGGGTCCTGGTCTTGTTCATTTTAATACTTAAGTGACCGGAAAACATGTGTGGTTGTTGTTAACATGATGCTAGCATGAATATAAAAACTTTCCTCAGAACTGCAGAACAATACCAGACTTTTCCACTTTCCATAAATTTCAGTTCATTTAAAGGAATAGTTTATGCAAAAATGAAAATGTATTCACAATTGACTAATGACAAGTCAATTGACAAGTTGTTCTATTCCTTTATGAGTTTCTTTTTTTCTGTCAAACACAAACTTATTTATTTTGAAAATGTTGGGAAAAAAAGACTAGAAAATGTCATACTTTGTAGGAAAATCAAACAGGCTCACAATGGAAGTCAATGGTTAGCCTACTGGCTTCCAACATTCTTCCAGCTTTGTGTTTATCAGAAGATACACAAACAGGTTTGGAACAAGAGGAGGGTGAATAATGAGGACATCACTTTTATTTTTACCTATCCCTTTAAGACAGGGGTGCCCAAACTTTGTCTTATGAAGGGCCAAACATCCAAAATATCATTGATAGCCATGGGCCAAAGATAAATATGCCAAACTTTTTTTACTATTAGTAATTTCCTAATTCATTTCATAATATTAAAAGATGAACAGAAATAATTACTTTAAATCATATTAACCAACAAAGTATCACTTTTTTTAAATCATAACTTATTGCAATACAACAATAAACAATCACATGTATAACACAGTGGAGTTCCATGCTGAATACACAAGTCAAGCAGAAGCTGCCTTTGACTGATTCCCACACCAAAGTCTCTGCATACAGTCTCTGCATTATCCTCTATCCATCATATGTACATTTTAAACTAAATCTGAGTAATTTACACCATTTAATTTCAGATAGCTTTTTTTGTAGCTTTAACATTTAAACAAACAAATGTTAGGTTACATTAAATTGCGTGTCATGGCGGGTCAAATCAAAGGTTTCCATGGGCCAACTTGGCTGCGGGCCCTAACTTAGGCGTCTCTGCTTTAAGAGAATGATCCGGCTCATTCAGTGCTTTTTCAGCCCAATTTAAGACTCTCTAAAAACATCCAACCAAAAATAGTAACAAAACTATTTTGTATTTAAACTGGAGACATAAGAAGCATTTTACTTCTAGTCTATAACACCATGACTGCCATACTGTATATAAAGGGGTAGTAGTTCACCCAAAAGTATTAATATGGTGTTAATTTACCATTTTTACTTTTATTTCCTCATTATACAATTTAATAAGTTTTCTTTCTATAACAGTGGGCCAGAGGTTAATAAAATGCTATTAATTTGCTACTTGCCACTTTGAGAGTCAAAAAAGTACTGGTGGCTCCTGACCATACTATTATGTCTAATGAAACTAAATAAATCTGCAAAAAAAGTATCTTTAATCCACAGCCTCTGTGAGCATGAACATTCTTCAGCAGCACATTCACAACAGTAACCTTCCTGTCACATGACGACATAGAGCCTAGACAACTGTATGAGTTAGCACACACTCACACATCAGCAATCGCTATTGCTTTAAAAGAGAGGCAGGACATGTTTGTAATATTCTTCAAGGTGTACTTGTGCTTATGCTGGATGCGACAATAACTAAAAACTTTTGTTTTGCTTGTACATTTTTTTTTTCTCTTCGCAATCTTTTTTTAGCGATATAGTAAAGAAAAATATCTTATTTTGTATATGGGCCATACATGAACAGCCAAAACGAATCACGTTTGAGTTAACGATCCTTTTAAGACGCCATAACTGGCCAACTCAAACTTTTAAAAGTCTTCACAGCATATATTACTCTACATATTTATGAATGCAGAATTACGCCAATAATTTACGAGAGCCATGTCCAATTGATCTAATTCGTACCCCTTCACCTTCCACATTGTTCCTACTACTACGCCCCTGTGCCACAGCAAAGAGCCCAGCGACTCCCCCATTCACATGCCGTCGGTGTAGCCATGGACCGCTGGCACGGTTTTCCACCTTATTGGCAAGCATCACGAATTTGTTGCCTGCGTTTGAAAGCGGGGTATAGAGCAAACACAAGCGCACTGACGCGGTCCAGGAGCTGACCGGTGCTGAAACCACTGCCTATGATACGCTATGAGTCCACAGTATTCATCATTAATACCCTCAACACTTTCCGCCGTCCCATTATAAAATATGCACATCTATGAGAGGCTCATTTGTCGCTACTAATCTTCTGGCATTTGCTACACAGGGAAAACTTTTTCACATTTATTCACACTGACGCTCTGCGACAAAAGCAGCAAGCAGGCAGGCCGACAACATCTCAAAGTTTGAGCATTCTGGGCGGTGCAGCACAGCAGCCTCTCCCGCGGTGAGGTGCGTGATTGCCCCGCCGCGCAGTAAAAACGGGCACATACTCACACATAAGCGTGGTAAATGAACGCCCAGCCGCGGGGTCGCTCCAGAGCATTATACAGGAAATTTTGCAGTCTGCGATAACGCGCGTTTCTCTTGTGAGCGATGCTCCCTCTGGAGATGCTGGACCGCGGTCTGCACAGGATGCTGCCCCGTTTTGTGCTTTCGGAACCGGCGATGAGAAGTGCCCCGTCTCGGCTGGTCTCCGCAGCCCCGGGGTCCAGACCCACAAAGCCGACTTTCGGTTTCTTTTCCCCAGCCGGAGGGAGATAAACTTCCCCGTTGGCGGATTTCTTCACCATCCTTACAGTTTGACAGATCCAAACGAGTGTGTAAAGTAGCCGTGGGCAGACATTGCCGAACCGGGGTGTGTTCTGTAGTGCGGTGGTCTCCTACTCAAAGCCAATTGAAACGCTAAGGCGAAACTGCAATGGGTCGTCCTTTATCTGTACGCCTTCCGGCTCCTGCAAGAACTGATGTTTAATGTTTCAGCAGTCAGATTTTTGGATGGGGGCTCTGGTGAAGGAAATTGTTATAGTAGTAAATAATTAGGAAGCTTGGTTAAATCATTCATGATGAAAAGGAAATGGAACTTTGCGAGGCTGAAATCTTAATCAAACACTGTAGTAAGGCAAACAGAAGCCGATGTTGTTGATACTGTATGTTAAAAAGGTGACGTTTACCTAAAGCAAAGTTAATATTTTCAGTTTCTTTGGATTTACAGAATTTTGGTGTGGGTAAAATGTTATTTTTTACTCTATAAAGATCAACTAATAATTCTTCCAATTTTTGATTTCCAAAATGTTGTTTAGAGCTTTTTGTTTGGCAAAAAATGGTCAGAATAAAAAAATATTTTCAATTAATATTGGAAAAAACCAGGCGCTGCAGTGGCGCAGTACGTAGTGCTCTCGCCTCACGGCAAGAAGGTCGCTGATTCGAACCTTGGCTGAGTCAGTTGGCGTTTCTGTGGAGTTTGCATGTTGTCCCTACGTTCGCATGGGTGCGAAAAGAAATTGAATGAATGGATGAATTGGAAAAATCAAGGTTATTCCACCAAATAGCCTTTTAACTTCTCTGAAGTCAAAGAAATGGTAGTGTTTTTTGTACAAAAAAAAAAAAAAAAATTATATATATATATATATATGTCTGAAAGCCAAACAAGCTCTAAATTACAACTTTTTAAATTTAAATGATAAAGAAATTTAAAAAACATGTACATATAAAGGCATGTACAGCATGGAAAAAAGGTATTGAACACATCATGTTTTTCCTGCGGGAATAATATTTCTCATTAATTTCTCAGGTGTGAGTTTTTCACAGACTTCAACAGTGTAAAAATCTTGATGGTTCTGTGGGTCTCCTAAATCAAATCAGATGTTTATTTTGTTTTTTTTATTGGATTCAAGTCAGGTGATTGGCTGGGCCATTCTACAGCTTAATATTCTTTGTCTGAAATCATTTGAGAGTTTCCTTGGCAGTGTTTTGGATCATTGTCTTGTTGAAATGTCCACCCTGGTGTCATCTTCATCATCATGATAATGTAGATGTTGGACTGAAGCTGCGAATAATAAACTGATGAAGAGCAGAGGGTTGCTAAATATCTACTTGGAGATTTCAGCTACAGTTTGGGCTTTCACTGCGCTTTTACACCTCTCTTTCTTCACGCATTCAATACTTTTTCCCTGTGTCATTTCATTTTACTACACATAACTTAATTTGTAAACACATTAATATTGTTTTCATTCCATATATGGAATTCTTTGGTTGTTACCAACATCCTGGGAAAAATCCAGTCAACGACACCTTTAGAAATATATTTTCTGAGAAAAATGGCAACGTGTTCAATACTTATTTTCCCCACTGTAAATCGTAAATCCTTAGAAAAACTCAGATTTATTTTTTCAGAACATAAACACGACATGAATTACAGTTTTGTGACAGGAGAATGAACAAAAAATTAGTGGAGCTGGGATGTTGTCCAGTGGCTATTTGTATCATAAAGCCTAACCAAAATCTAATATGCACCGGGAAATTTAAGTCTGTACTCCAGCGCAATTATAGTACACATATAGCACATTTTCAAATCTGCTAAAAAATGGATGCAGGATATTTCACTGTTCTCAACATACTATAAACATATTATGCCACTTGTTTAGTCTTGTTGCGTGCCTTCATCTCTAACAATGACAAATCAGAGGTAAATTATAAACATACTCTTTTATTTTGTTTGATATTAGCAATGCATTAAATACAGCAAAGAGACAAACCTAACAGAGCTTCATCGAGAGATCTAATGAATTACTCCAGTCAGACCGAAGGGTGCCATAAATCCACCACATGGTTATCAGGGGCTGCATTGGGAAATGAGAAACGACACTTTGAGCTTTGGGGTACAAGGCATTTTTTTTACATCTGTAATGAGACAATTCTGAGAGTCCAGACCAATTGATTTAGCACAGGTCCTCAGTTCTGCCTGAAGGTGCAATCTTGGAGAACTTATTCATAAGCTAATCATACGTCATCGGAAAGGAAAACTTTATACAATGAGTTAAAACAACTGGATATGCACTTAACATCTCCAGCAGGAAAAAGTTTAAGAGCCATTTAATTTACTTATAAAGCACAAATGAGGACACAGTGAGACTTCACAGTCAAACATGAATAAAAACTATAAGTTAAATACTTGCTGATGCAGATTAGATCCACTCCTTCACTCCACCGCTGAGGTTTGATTAAACTGCTCTTATTAATAGGAACAATCAAAATCTGGAAGATTAAAAAAGGCTTTTGCAAGTGAAACAAACAAACGAAACAGAGATTATAAACTATAAGGCCCCCAAAAGAAAGGCTTGTTTTGTAAGCACCACTGAATATCTTCCGCTCTTTGAGCTAAAAGTACACTTGAAATCGAGGCATGTTAAAATTGGCAATATATACTTCAAATAGAACCGTAGACAGATCAGCAGTTTAAAATCTTCAATGTGTGCATATCATATTTGAGCTGACTGATTAGAGATGTTAAATTAGTCATGATCATATTCAGAGGGGAAGCTAATCGCACAATAATGGACCAAGATGATACAGAAAAACCTGAGATTTTAATATACAGTGATAGGAACATGCTAATGCTAATGCTACGTCTTTGGGTTTCACTAGATTTACAGAAATGATAGGTTTCGTGTGGACTTCATAAAGCATAGAAACAAGCAACGACGAGGAGCTTTAAAATGTACAGATTCCAAGGATTAAAAACACTTGTTTATAGTTTGAGGACCAAATCAAATGTTAAAATCCAAATAATACTGAATTAATTCTACATCTTAGCCTTCAATTTGGACAGTTATAATGAAATAAAGATATGTATTAGCTTAAATTCAAGTATTATTTTTTTTCTACAATGTTTTATCATCACATGTAAAACTACAACATGGTCTGAAGTTGTATTGTCTATCTTCCATGCTGAAATGTAACCGAGAGATGCGTTATGAGCTATAATACAAACAAGATGAATGTCGGAATAAGATTATACCAAGATGCTTTTAGCATATTGACACTATAGTGACCTTATTTATTTCAATTGAACTAAATACGGCCATGTGTCAGGATTACTGAAGGTAACTAAATGTAACAAAAGCCTGTATGTACATACTAGCTTAACTACTCCAAACTAATCTAGGTACACCGTTCAAATTTCCAGACCTTCTCGGTTTACTGACCAGTTAGAAATTTAAATACTGAACACATTGTGTAAAAGCACATTAAAGTTTCCTATCCAAATATACACTAAGTATACAAATGAGAGATGTACAATATTATATTTGTTTAACGTTATTAATACTCTTTAAATTATAGCACTGCTGTTCCCACAGAGCATATGCTTATCCATTTGATAACATACATAAATTTGCCTAAATACAAAACCTCAATAAAGTCCTACTATATCTATTCGTTCTTCAAAGGATCCCTTTGCGTTTCTTCTACAATGTACAGTATGCTTAACAAAACACTGAAGAACACGAGCTTTCTTTTATTGTGCTTTTCTCCAAACAGCCGCATGAAGCCGATTCACACTCTTAACACAGCACTGAGTCATGCTTAAAAAGTGCTATAACACCAGGGACGTGGAGCGTTATTAGAATATTTGTTCTGCTTGTAATTAATATCAAAATTGTGATTAGCGTGAAATTTCAAACTCCTATTTTTCTGTATAGTTTGAGTTTCCCTGTTATCCTGTAAGCGAATTCAGATTTTAAAGTGGTCCGTATATTGCAGGCGGGAATGATTTCAGTATTTTCTTTGACACCTGATATGAGTGAGAGAAACTCACCAGCTCCCACTGACACACAGTGCAGACACACTCATGCTAAGCTACAGTAATTGCACATAATCACCACGTATCTGAACGTGACATCACCATCCAGACCAAACCACCCTACTTGCTGACTCAATATTGCAGTCAAAGGCGAAGGAAGGAATAGATAATACAGCCATTCACGTGCCAGTCCAGATCCACCAGGAGACCAAACAATGTGGGCAGACGCTGATAGCCAAGATTAGCATCGTTAGCATTAGCAAGTTGTCTTTCCTCATCACGACATTGACCTCAGGCGAACGTCTCTGGGTGAAGCTGGCTGGGAGAAGTTGAGATGTTCTCAAAATAATAAACCAGTCTTGATGTCTCTCAGTTTTCTAGAAGGTGTTAGAGACGAACATCACCGTGTTCAAAGGTCTCCGTCGGATGGGGGTAAACATAACCTGAAGAGCCTGGATTGAGGATTGAAAAGAGTTTAGCTACTGTTGAAGCTTCATTCAACTCTAAAGCCAAAGCAGAAATAACATGTTTCAATTTTTAATCAGCGAGGCCTTGAAATAGCAGATACCTGGGAGCTAAAGGCGGCATCTGGTCCATTACTCTGAGGTTTTTGGCAGAAATCTCCACCCTGGTGCCCTGTGAATAAAGCCAATTATTATTTTCATATATATTCATATTGCAAAACATGTTTGATCAGAATGTTTTCTGCTGACTTACTAAAATGTGAACTACTGGTTTTGTTGCTCAGATGACTCTTTTAGCCTTTAGACTATTGCCTACACATTTGTTTGCATGTTAGCCAGGGGTCAAACTCTGAATGTGTGTAGGCTTGGGTTGCTCTTACTACTGTTTTTTTTTTTTCTAAATATTGCTAGTATATAGAATATGGTATAGCTCTATGATAAAAAGTAGTTATTGTCAATATATTTGATGCATGTTTTGTTTTTTGGAGCTTGGAAAAACTCTGTAATTTATTTACTCTCCCTTCACTTGTTCCAATCCAGCGTGGGATTCTTTCTTCTGTAGAACACAGAAGCAGAGGTTTTAAAGAAAGCTAAAAACCGGTATCCCTAAATTAAAAAACAAACAATATCTAAGTCTATAGTTACAGGTTTCCAGCTTTCCTCAAAATATCTTTATAGAGCATTGTAACCACTTAAAGGTGAGCAATTTTTTTTTGTTTTTTTTGTGAGAACGATCCATTTAAACAGGGCTACGCAGAGGCACAGAGGGTAGCACAATCACCTCACAGCAAGAACATCGCTGGTTCGAGCCTCGACTGGGTTAGTTGGCATTTCTGTGTGGAGTTTGCATGTTCTCCCTGTCACACCTGTTGCAGTGCCCTAGTTTGGACACTTGAGGGCACTTGTTTTTTTTGTAGTTTCACTTCATTTCCCATAATTCTTTGGATCACTGATTGTGTTATGTTACAGCTGTTTCATGTTTGTTAATTTAGTCCTGTCTTTATAAACTCTCTTGTTTTGTTTTAGTTGCCTTAGGATTTTGTTAGCTCCTCATGTTTGGTATGTTTGTCTAGTCATCTAGTTTTTGTATTTTGATAATTCTTGGATTCCTATTTTGTGTTTGTTTTTGTTAGCACTCTTTAGCACTCCTACCCTGCTTTTGTATTTACTCGTTTTTGGATTTTTGCCTGTTCTCTTGTTTGGACAAGATTTGCATCCTGCTTTAGTTCTGTTCAAGCTTGGAAACCTTTGTCTTTTGGAAACCTTAGTCTTTGTTAATAAATTGTTGCACTTGGATTTTTGCATTTTGTGATCGTTCCCCATTTTGTGACACTCCCCATGTTTGCGTGGGTTTCCTCAAAGTGTTCCAGTTTCCCTCACAAGTCCAAAGACATGCGATACGGGTGAATTGGGTAAGATTAATTTGACCGCAGTGTACTGCATGTGTGTGACTGAGTGTGTATGTGAGTTTCCTAGTGATGGGTTGCAGCTGGAAGGGCATCCGCTGCGTAAAACGTATGCTGAACAAGTTGGCGGTTCATTCCGCTGTGGCGCTGCTAGATTAATAAAGGGACTAAGCCAGGGATGACCATCTCTGTCCTGGAGGGTCAGTTTCCTAGAGAGTTTAGCCCCAACCCTAATCAAACACACCTGAACCAGCAAATCAAGCTCTTTCTAGATAAACTAGAAACTTCCCAGCAGGTGTGTTGAAGCAAGTTGAAGCAAAACGCTGCTGGACTTCTTTCAGAATTTCTTTCTTCTGTTGAACACACTCAAAAAATATTCTAAAGAATTTTAAAAAAGCATTGTGTCATTGTCATCCATAGTAGGAACAAAAAAGTATGGAAGCCAACATTCTTCAACATAACTTTCTTGGTGTTCAACAGAAGAAAAAAACTTGAGCATTTCATCTGCGGAAGATGAGCAAACTATGACAGAATTTTTTTGTGCAAACTATCCCTTTAATCTATTTCTCAACTTCCTCGTCATTTGAGCATTTCTTTCTTTTCTATAAAACTCTTACACTTTTCTGTAATCAGTATAAACTGATTGCTTGCCTACTATCTAATCTTCAGAGACTATAACATGTAGCCTTTCTTAAGAAATGATCTACAATATTTACTTCAGCTGTGATTTAATAATATTTTGGCTCATCTGTGTATATTTATAATAGATTTAAAGAAAAACTTTTGTAATTTTCAGCCAGCTTTGCATGGTTACAATTTTAGAGCCATATAGATAAAGACAAATGTGTACATTTTCCTAGGTTACAAATATCCAGATATCTTAGTTCATTTGTCAGCGGTAGAGTCTCCCATCTTTCTGTCATCCCGGAGACTTTTGCCAACAAATAAACATAGGAGATAACGGAGATCAGGTAAAACACAAAACAGAGGAGGCAGAGTTGAACTTTAAATGTACAGAAGAAGTTTTGTGGCCACCTACTGGCAAAAAATGCAGGACTTGTCATGTACTCTTGCTTCTTCACTCCATTCAAGTGTGGTTGTGTGCAGAATACTATACCGTGGATGCACCTCAAATTATGTATATATGCCCTATGCCATACACTGACAGTTAACGAGATAACATACCTGTGTAACTGCTTGTGGTTTGGCACACTGAATCAAAACTCGGTCTCATTAGCTATCATTTATCCTACTCAGTTGTATACACTGTGACGCCCTATTCACACGGGGCTTCAGCGTCAACGCTTGACAGAGGGCGTGTCTGAAGTTGGAGCTGAAACGATCGTCATAGAAGCGTCAGCCAATGAAATTCAGTCAGCAATAGGCCACTGTCTGAGCTGGTGTATTTGCATACAGCGATCTGATTGGCTGACGCTTCCGTCGGCGCTTAAAAAGTTGAGCAGGTCCCAACTTCTGCAGCGAGGAACGCTTCTGAAGCAGCGCCGACAGATCCACAATGCAGTTCGGCAACGCCTGACGTCACCCATTCAAAGTGAATGGGAAGCGTTGACGCTGACGCCCCGTGTGAATAGGGCGTGAAACTCAACAGTCAACTTTATCAAATGAAATGAGTGGAGTTAAGTCAAAATTGACTGAAAGTTAATTCTACTCATTTGAAAAGAGTTTGAACTCAGTGTTGAAAGTAATGACAGTGTTGATGAGGTTTTTTTTTTTTTAACTCAAATGGTTTGTAGCAATCAGTTTACTCAAATGGTATGAGTTGCCTTAACTTACTGGGTTTTAAATTACTCAGTTGGTTTGAGTTCTCTTCATCAATCAGGTTTTACTGTGCTCAAATTGCTTTGTTTACTTAAATGGATTAAATTCATAGTACTCATTAGGCTTAGTTTTTGAACTTGAATGGTTTGTTGCAATCGGTTTCCTCAAAAGGTTTGAATTGACTTAGCTTTTTGGTTTTACAGTGTACTTATGTTTTCTTTTTTTGCATTTTCCCATTTTCATTAAGCATTTCTTGTGATAATGTGCATAAAAAGATGGATGGAAACATAGCTGTTGACATAATAATGCCCTAAAATGCATCTCACTAACCATTACATTAAAACTAAATGAATAGTAAAGTCTCAACAGTAACGAGTCCTAAAAGAGTTAAACCCACTCAAAGCCAACTGAAATTTGCTTCAAAGATTTTGGTTTCTGCCAAAAGGGGGATTTTCACCAATAAACAAAACATATTGACATAGTTTGGCTACACGAGCAGATGATTATGTCCTAGCGGTTTACATTTTCTACCAACTACAGATTTGATTTTGTAAATCCTAAAATATTTTTAATGACATCAGGTGAACAGTTGGAGTTCTGCTGTACCTGTTTACGCATGAGGTCCATGGTCTGCATCAAGCAGCGGGGCATGAGGCTGTGGTTTCTGGCCAGAATAGTAGCTTGCTCCAACGACACAGTCAGAGTACACCTAAAAACATATAAATCCTTAGTCAGAGACAATCTAGACCAGGGGTGTCCAAACTCTGTCCTGGAGGGCCGGTGTCCAGCAAATTTTAGTTCCAACCCCAATCAGACACACCTGAACCAGCTAATCAAGCTCTTTCTAGGTGTACAAGAAACTTTGGGTTGGAGGATTGAGCAAGTGCCTGCTGAGAGGGGCACTTCAGCCAATGAGGGCAGAGGGGCAGTGGTTCTAGCCACCGGACCACCCCCTTGTGCACGGCCCTGATTAATAGGGCAATATTTGGAAAAATATGGAGAAAATCACATTTAAAGTTGTCCAGATTAAGCTCTTTGGAATGCATGTTACTAAAACAAATTTAAGTTTAAATATATTTACAGTAGGACATTTATAACATGTCCTAATTTTGTAATGATTTTAGACATAAAATTAAAAAAATATCATTTTTGAATTGTATTTTTGGCTATTCCCACAAACATATTAGTTAACATGAGACTGGTTTTGTCGAAAAAATAAAACAGCTTTGAGTAGAAACTAGACTCTGGCTCCACTTCACTATATGTAGAAAGCAGGTCATGCAGTTACACCTTATTGTCATCAGCAAATTTATGATTGTATATTTGATCTTGAGCAACATGAATAAAAGATTTGACTGCAGATAAAGCACCTCTGCATCCCGGTGGCACACATGGTGATCTGACAGGCCCCGAGTCGATTGCAGAGCTCAGAGGACACCAGCAGCACACTGACCCCTGAGGGCTGACCCGCAGAGCTGGCCTTTACATTCATATATGTCTGCATGAGCCGACACAGGTCATCCAGAGTGTTGAGCGGCCGCAGGAGCTGGAGAAGCATTCAGAGAAACAAGTTTAAATGCTTGGATTCAGAAACAAATAAACAACAAACATCTAAATAATGATGCACATTTCTGCATGTGTTTCTGCAGGTTCTGAAGAAATCCAATGCACGCACATACAAACACACTTAAAATAACAAAACATACAAGCAGGATTTTAATCGGCCAACCAACCTGATCTATTTTCATGGCAGTAGAATTCGAGTCTGAATTAGACTTCTCTAGATAAAAAGCCCTAGAAATAAAGAAGAGATGTATAAACACAAATGACTATTTTTTAAGAATCAGTATTTTTAATATATCTATATATAGCAAAAAATTAACAGACAACTTGAACACTTGAAAGTATAACATATCTTTTAAATAAATAAAAAAAAACAGTAATTTAGAGCAATTTCCCCCCCAAAATAACACAATAATGTTCACAATAACAGATGTTTTTACTTGCTATGATTGTAAACCAGTGTTATGGCACCAAATATTGAGTTCTTGAGCATCAGATCTGCACATTAGAAGGATTTCTGAAGCTCACATGACACTGAAGATTGTTCACAGTTTACATGAGATGATTCCCACATGACTAAAGAGAGGTCCTTACCTGAGTTTGCGGTAATAACCTTTGACCTTCTCCAGTGAGAGAGCATTTGTGCGTTGCTGAAACTCTTCCATGGTAACAAAATCCTGAGACAACACACCTTCTGGCTTCTCCAGCCCTGATAAAAGTTAAGAAAATGCATATTACATTCACTCTTTGCACAGTGCTGTAATGCTCTACAAACACCACTAGATGGAGACCAAGACTCACCAAGGAAACATTGATCTGAACGAGCACATTCTGACCTCGACTGTACATTAACAATATATAGTTTATCCTACAAAAGCATTTCTACAAAAATGTCTAATTGATTTTGAATTAGAGCACTGTTTTTGTGAAAGCTTTAATGAAACTATTTCTCATTCTTTTTCGTAAACATTTTTGCCAATATAGAAAACATTTTTGAAATAATGTTGAAGCTTTTATTTCTCATAATATTTTAAAACCATTTTCCTTATCTTATAAATATGTGATCTGGGGTTATTATGTTAAGGATTGCTCTTTAAAATATTTATTATAAATTTAATTTATTATAATTTATTATTATTTTAATTTATTCACATATACTAATGTAAGTTTGCCAAAGCAACCCTCTCTTCATGTTGTAAGAAAAAGACATTAAAATGTATATAAAAGTGATAGATTATCATTACTAAGGTAATTATTAATAAATTATGTCAGTCTACTTGAAATGTGAATAAAACGTAAATAAAGTGTCAATGACATTACAAATGAAACTAATCAATGCACTTAAAATGTCAATATGAAATTGATTGAGTTTGTAAAGGACACCTCTCTTGCCTTGATTCAGGGTTATTACTAGGGCCAGACAGAGTCTGTTGACATTTTTTGCTATTTCTGCTCAGAGTTTTGTAAAAAAAAAAAAAAAAAAAAAAAACAACAACAATGGATTTATGGGGAATGATTTTAGGAGTGTCATAACTAATAACTTAATATTTAAAATAAAAAATAATACCTTTTGAACTTTTATTTAATGTTTACAATGCTAATCCAATTAGATCCACTTATTTGGTAAACAAAGCAATTCTCTAATATAATATCTCTACTAAAAGACTGTATTGTAAATAAATCATATGAACATTTGAATATTTCTATTTTTATATCACGATAATTTTTTTTAAATGAACTTAAAAACTAAATAAATATAAATTTACACAAGTAAATAAATAGACTCGATGGGCTAAAAATCTGTGGAAATCTGCACAGATTCTGCATAGGCCTAGTTATCGTATTATCACTGTAATAAAAAAATGTTACTTGAAATAAAGTTAATTGAATAATATGACACTATGTATATGTATATGTATATTATATATATATATATATATATATATATATATATATATATATATATATATATATATATATATATACAGTATATATATATATATATACAGTATATATAAATACAATAGTTACTCAATGATACTAAAATAACATTTTCTTGATTTTATACTCCTCACAGTGCAAAATATAACAGGCGTTTCCTCAAAAGACACATGCAATGATGCCTGGCACCTTAAGAGGGTAGCTAATTAATATGGCAACTTTTTTGAACAGCCTATGGCGCCTTAAAATACAGGCTCTATAGACAGCACACTAGGTTTTAGAACTGCAAATTATAAACACGGGGTTTAGAATGGAAACGGTCATTTATTTTGTAACCCACCTCTAGTGAAGAGGACTGATTGCAGCTTCAGAGAGCCTCCGTTCTGCAGTCGTGTTGGCAGTTCACTGAAATGACAGTTGTCCAGGAACATCGTCACCCTGATAGCCTGCCGACTGCCTTCCACCTGGTAATGCACAGATGTGTCTAAAGAGGAAAAAAGGAAGGAAAGCAAACATGACTCACAATTAGATGATATTTATAATTATAACCACTTCCATCCTTTTACAACATACTAGTACTAAACTAAATTCTGACATTATTTACTCCCCCAATTATCTTGTCAAAATTAGTCATTTTCAAACACAAAAATAATGTTTTTTTTTTAAATCTGAACCGAAAAATGAGAGATTTCGGTTTATCCATTAAAAGTATGTCTAACCAATTTTTTTTTTCAGTTTTCAATGTTCATGAATAAATCATAAAAACAAATCTATATATGGCATTTAAAATCTATTTACACCATTTACAACATTCAAATGTATTCCCAGAAGCTCAATTGTGTTTGCTTGAATTGTGATAACCAGCAAGGTAAATTTTTGCATGTCATTTGCTACATCTCAGCTTTCACAAGCAGCAAACATGTAGGGCTTGTACTAGAATTACAGGCATAGTTCACCCAAAAAACAAAACAAAAAAAAAAGTCATGATTGTCTCACTCTTGACTTGTCCCCACCTAACCCCCCCCCCCCCCCCCCCCCCCAACAAAAGTGAGTTTTTTTTATCTATTAAACACAAAAGATAATGTACTGAATATTAGAAACCTTTAAACATTGTCATCCATTAAAGGAAAAACAAATACTATAGAAGGCAATGGTTACAGGTTTTCAACATTGTCCACTAGTGGTGTAACAGATCACAAATCTCACAGTTCAGATCCCATAGTTTTTTGGATCAGCTTAAAAAGTGGAGGAGACAAATCGTCACCATAGAATTATTATCTGACATTATTGTCATAATTGAGTTACTGACATATTCTTATTAAATGACAACTTTTTGGAATGCAAAAACTTTAAAGCTCAATATCTCAAATACATTTAGAATGCAGATAGGTGAAGGTGCAAGGTGACGAAATGTAATTTGCTTTCCATTTATTAACACAGTACTGAAAGAAACTTTCGGTTTTAACAAACAGAACTTAGAACCTGAAATTCTATTAAAAATAAAATGAATAAAAACAAATTGTAAAATATTCAGTATTGTGAAAAATTCACTGTTACTACTACTGTTGTTGACAACGCTAAATGTATAAATCTAAGATTATAATTTGTAGAACCCAAATTTATTTTTAGTCACATTTTCAATAAATGATTCAGTCATTCACTCACAAAACTTCATGTTTCATTGCTAGATGGATCTTTTTTGAAGAACTGTCAAGTGGCATATTTTTGATGGCTGGTAGCTGCCACCTATTGGTTAAATATTTTACATATTTTACTTTGGACTACTTGTATTTTTTCTCACAATGTTATTATTTATGTGGTGATTTGATTCACTGATTTGGATATCTTTTTTTTTTCACTATGTATGTATGTTTACTACTAACTACTTATCATTTTTTTGTGGTTTTTTTTTTTTTTTGGATGTTGTGTAATTTTATGTCTTGTTTTTGTCTTCTTGTGTTATTATTATGTGATTGTGACTAATTGTGGGACTCCCTTGAAAATGAAATGGCACATTTCAAGGTGTTTATCCTAATGAATAAACTATTCATAAATAATATAATTGCTGCCTACAACTTTATTTTTGGGTGCTGTTAAATGCATATGACAGTGATTTTAATCTTTACCATAGACATCAGTTGTTATTTATCATACATCTATACATATGTTATACATCTACAAACTTAAATCTATAAACTAAATTTAGGATTAATCAACCAGTAAAGAAATTATTAATTCAGGGGTCACGTGTGTCCAAACCGTAGGTTGTGATCCACCACGAATCAACCATGATCAGTTAAACCCCAGTATGTGTTCAACAGAATAAAACAACTCAAACTGGTTTGGAACAAGTCATTTTTGGGTGAATTATCCCTTTAAGAATTACAACCTAGTAAATTAAACTCGTTTCATCTTAAAAAGTGATTACATCACTTTAGAAGACTTGAAATAAATCACCTGGTTCATGTGAAGTAATTTTTTTATGAATATTTTGAATTGTCAAGAATTTCGAGTGAACAGACTTTCAATGTGGGGATAGAAATCTCTCTTTTGAAGATTAAACAAAATCTTATGATTTTGAAACAACAAATCAGTGATTGGAAAAGCCAGAATTATATTTTTGGGCTGAACAAACACATTTGTGGTCCTGTTTACACCTTGTAGAATATGTGTTTTGATTGCCTAGATCAAAAGTTGTGCAAACACAATTCCTGTTTACACCTGAATTTTAAATCCATAGTCCACTTTCCAGATCAAAGAAGGTCTATGAGATGGTGTATCTACAGGCCTTTTCTAATCTTTCCATCTAATAATGCAAAAGTGACATACTTTATTATGCTATTTACATACTTTAGTCAAAACCTTTTTAAATTATGAAACTATACCAAAATACTGATTACATTTTTACTAAGAAATGCATTAAATGTACTTGGCGAGCCAAGGAGTACAGATCCAAGTAAAAACTGCTTTATAAACTACGACTGGTAAGAGAAGATTTGATTTTTACATGTTTTTCACCTTGAAACCCAAATAAGGATTACTTTCTGCAAAGTTAAAATCTCTTCTAATTAGCACTGAAATGTTTAAGAATGATAAGAGCAGTTGGTCTTGGTCTGTTTGAACACATTTTACCCAGTGAGACTATGGATGACATTACACTATGAATGTAATTTAATCAAATGTGTTTTCAACTACCTGTGAAAGTGGTCAAAAGGGGACAAGCTCAAAACATTTTAGACCCCGATTACACTTTCATTAAGTGTCCTGCATTTGTGATCTCATCTATATAAACACATCATAGTACCAGATGTAATTGGGGTCTGGGTAATGTCTGCACTTGCAAATATGCAAAATCCTTTACTCTATTTAGGGTCACTCTGGGAAACGTGAGGATAACTAGGTTGTGAGTATCCTGATAAGACCTTACCAAAGTGTAAAGGGAGGAGGGTGGACGGGTAAGCTGTACTACACGGAGATGACCTTGTAAATAAAGCACCTTTGCGGCAGGAACAAACCACAAAGCAGAACATCCTTCCTCAGATTTACCCAAACCAAAACAGAAGAAGATGCAGATAAAGCTGCTCTCCATCACGGGGAACTGTGCTGACATTCCTGAACAAGACATCTGGAGGGTGTGTGTGTGTTTGTGTGTGTGGAGGGAAAGGGTGATGCTATATAAGGATGAAAGTTCTGGCTTCCACTTTTTAGAGAAATCGCACAACGTTATCAGAGTAAAGGGAGGGAACCCAGGACGTGTCTATTTATAAAGGGAAGGAATTTGTGGTTATTGTTGCGGGTGTATCAGTGGTTAACAGAGTGTATAATCAAACCATTCATTTATAAAGCATGCACGACTACATGATACTTTGGTTTATGCTGATTACTTTTTCAGATAATGCATTTTTGATTTTGGCTTTTGTTGCATCATAGACAAGAAACATCTGATCATTTGCTGCGTTCTGATCAGTCATCACTTGTCGTCTTTATTAATGTGCATGATGTCATTTATTAACAGGTCACTAGCATAAGCGTAAACAAATCATGGCTACTTTTGCAGCTCGCTTTCATTTAAAAGTGCTTTTTTTCCTGTCAGGATGTTAAGCAGAGTTTCTGCTGGTTTTACAATGCTAAATTTAAGACTTTTTAAGACATTTTAAAACTATTATGAATAAAATTTTAGACTTATACAGGTCCAAATGCTAAGCATTTTTTTGAATATCCCAGTTGAAAACGATTTTCTATCTAAAAATGATTACAATTTAATACCTATAATAATACAATAATAATAATGTAATAATAAAAAATATAGGTCAGGTCAGTATCCTCAGCAGTAAACACATGGAGAACTTTTAAACAAATGTTACTGAAAGAAATTAAATGCTATTTTAAAATAAAAAGATAAAACGTTTTATTGAGATTGGAATTGTTGATGATTGTATGGGTGTTAATGGCCAGATTGGGTAGCAATACATGAACAAAGGAATATTAAGACCTGTTAAAAAAAGATTTAAGACCTACAACACAACATTTGAGTAGATTTAAGACCTTTTAAGATTTTTTTAAAACCCTGCGGATACCCTGTTTATAACACTTCAAACATTGTGTCGATTGTCATTTTTTTCGGTCATTTTCATAAAAACAAAATAATGTGTTTTATAAACCACCACCATACCATCCACAAATAAAAAATGGACCATGTATAAATCAGGCTGACATCATGACATCTTAACCCTTGTATCACTCTTTTAGCTGTAATATTGAAAAACTTGGGTATTTCTCAGCTTAACCCTTTAACAGGAATCGTAACCACCTGGTCGATCTTTTATCCATAGGCTATCATTATTTTAATTGCTTAATACTATTTTTCAGAGTTGTGTCAGTATATTGTCCAATGCAAGTGTGGGCCGAAGAAATGTATTTTCAAGAAGTGCACCTTAACTAAAAATTAAAAATAATAATAACAATAATAATAAAACAGATATTGGCAGAATGATAACTTGATAACATTTTAAATGATAACTTGGCAGATTTAAGTTAAAGTACTAAAACAACTGACTAAAACTGAACTAAATCTAAAAAAATGTACTAAAAAAATTTAATCTAAATAAATTACTTTCAAAATAAATAAATATAATAAACATAATATAAATATAACAATGATCCAAAATTAAATTTAAATTGAACAAAAATGAAAGTACAAAAGGTTCATTAACATAAAAATTTACACACTTTAATTTGCAATTTGCAAATTAAGTTATAGATAGCAAATACTTATGAAAAAATCAATGTTGCTCTGTGGGAAAATTTAGTGATTTGAAAGCATCTCTGTTCCTAACAATGGCTTTCCTAATAGTCTTATTTGCATATTAAGGTCAGATAAGATAAAGAATGACACACATGGGCAACTATGATTGACAAGCCTTTAACTTGATGTGCTTATGTGGTTTGGGTTCCTACTTGGGACGAGGCACTCGTTCTCCAGTGGCCGAAACAACACCGTCACTTTCTCCAGATCCTGCAGAGCTGCTTTCGTATCTTCCAGCATGATCCGCTCTTCTCTCTGTCAAGGAAAACAACTTATAAGTCCAAAGAAAACGAGATTAAGAAGAGTGTAAGCTAAACACACTGTACATGGCTGATTCTATAATTGCAGGTTAACTAATTCATTATTATTTTATTTTTCACCCCTCATATGGTTGTTTGTTTTTATAATTTATCCCTCAATGTCATAGACCACAATATGTTACAGTACATAACAATACTATTTTACTGCAAATAGCGTCTGGCATAGATGGAATTAGCCAGTATTAGTATTAGCCAGTACATGTTTTAATAATGTATCTCTGTGTAATCAAACTATTTAATTACATTTTTTTCTTTTAGCAACATACTGTATATGTTTGACTAAATGTTTGATTTACATTTCCAATTATACAACATAATATGTTTTTTAAATTAGCATCTCTGTCCATAAATCTTTTAAAAATTCTGTACAGTATCCTACTTGGTGAAATTATGTCCCTCGATTATGTAAGATACAGAAAATGATGTCACTGTTCATCATTGTTGGTCTGATTGTACTGAAATGAATGTGTTCTCTTGCTCAGAACATCTGAAAACTTCTTACATCACAAATGATTCCGTAAAAGGTCAAAGTTGTTACCACATGACTAAAAAGAAAACAGAATTGACCACTAATCATACAGAGGGTTGTTTAAATGTCTTTCAATTATCTTGTACTCTTAGCATTTGTGCTAAGTGGAGTTTCCGACTTTGTTAACAATGTAGAGCAGGACTATTGAATTAGTTTGTTATGAGTTTGGGTGAGTTCATGAAAAGCATCCTAAATGAGGGGCCGGAGAGATATGACTTGCAATATGAGTGATGACACAACAGCAATATTAGAGCCCATGTGCTGTATTTGTGCTCCTTAAGATACCCACATTGGCTTTTTCTACACTAAACGTTGATATATTGTATTTTGAAACTACATAACATTACTGCAATGCAACTGCAATGTACAATGTGGCTTTTTTTTACAAACATATTCAAATGTTGTATTTCGAAGCACAACAAAAGCAGTGTATTTCTCAAGTAGGCTTCTTCTACATTCAGACACATTCATGTGTTGTTTTAAACTGCGTAACAATTAGCGATGCAACAATTATAGATTTTGGTTGTATGATTATAGTCTTATTATTATTAGAAATGATCATATTGAACAGACGCACGTCACTTTATAACTATAGCAGCCTTTTTCTCACTGAATAAAATTTGTTTTGATGTTTTGGTCTCCATATTTGGATGTCCAGAACAAATTGCCTTGCCACAAATTAAAATAGCCCTGATGTAGAGTAACCATCTTGACAGTATGAAACTGCACTGACTGACAGCTCTAGAGTTGATAAACAATTCTAGAAATATTTTTTTTTAAGTAAAAAGGGAAGTAACTTGTGTATGGGAAACACTGAATTATAAAAAAAACGATACACATCAATGATAACTGCAAAAATGTTTGTGGCAACTTTGATAAATGCAACATGTATCTCCAGGTATAGCATTACCCATATAAACTGATCTGACAGTACAGAAAAAATGTTAATTCAACTAGAGGTTCTATTATCATGCTTGTATGTTTAAGTAGAAAACACTGGGCATTTTGGCATGATAGTAACTGAACCAGCTAAGAGCATATGTACAATACAGTAAGTTGTTGATCTTACCACATGTGGAGAGAGTGTGGACTGGAAGTTAAAGAGCACTCCGATGGTGGAGATCTGCTCCAGCCACTTGTGGCTGACCTCCTTACTGTCTTCCTCATACTCTCCGTTATTATTGAAGCGCAGGTTCAGTGCAGTCACAAGCTGCTCCGCCAGTGCACACAACGCCCCCACCAGAGACTGGCAGAATATCACATCCCGCCGCAACTGGAGCTTTGTGTCTGTGAACAAAAGTAGAAAAGATTTCATGATATTTGTGTAAATATTTTGTGCTTTTATCAACTTCAACTGCTGTCCAAAGTTAAACACTTTTTAAATCCCATTACACTAGAGATGGCTGTCCACGCATTTATCACCTCACAGTTAGATTACTGCACTTTACTGTGGCATCACTAAATCACAAAATCCTCACCTACAATTGATCCAAAATGCTGCTGCTAGATTTATTCAAAACAGTTGAAAATGTGACCACATTGCCCCTATTCTGAGGGGACTCCATTGGCTGCCCATCCAACTCAGAATCGATTTTAAAGTGCTTTTACTGGTGTATAAATCCCTACATAATCAAGCCCCTAATTATCTTTCAAAGCTGTTGCATTTGTATACCCCCATGAGATGTTGAAGATACAGTGAACGCAATTTTTATTTAGTTCCTTAGTCCAGACTGAAACATAAAGAAGACATTAGAATGGCACCATCACTTATCTACTTTTAAAAGCTTACCTGTTCAGTTTGGCCTATTGATATTATACTAATAGTTTTGTCCATCGCGTTTGACTTTACATATATATGTTATTTCTCTTGTTTTTTTTTTTCTATGCTTTTTTTTAATCATTTAAAAAATATTTTTATTTAATATTACTCTGTCTTAAGACAGCAGTTTGGTCAGACTTGTGGCTGTTTATAAATGTGCTTTAAAATTAAATGAACTTGAACCAAATAGATGTATTCATTCACATTTCCCTGGTGTTTGTGAGTCAATACATAAAAAAATTAAACCAAAGTATTAAACCAATGATTGGATATTTATATTCAGAACTCTAGTCCAGAAATTTACATCAAAAGCTTGATAAGATTTTATAATTTTCTGTTGAGTATTTCATTAAATGCAGTCCATTTTAAAAAATGAATTTTATGCAAGTCATTGCAAATAATGATGATCAATATGATGATTTGGTGCACTTATTTATTTATTTATTATATAGTGCCAAAACAGTTGTTCTGCTGACTATTTTTGAGATCTCTTGACAGATGTGTGATACAAAAATAAAAGAAAACATAGCAAAATCTTTAAGTCATGTCCATATAAACTATGCTTCTTTGCGTTTAAGTGACCCATTTTATTGAGTCAAAAAGCAGTTAGGCAGGTCTCAAAGTTTTGTTATATGGCTCGTTTTTACAATAAAAACTGGATTTTAATTTGATATGTGCTTCTTATTTGCTTTTTGTTCCACTTTTAGTAACATCTAAAAGTTGCTTTTAATTCAGTGCATCTTTGTAAAAATATTAAAGTGTAAAATTACTAATTTCTTAAAACCAAAATCTTACTTATCAGCAGTATTACATTCTTTTCAAGTTTACAACACCCTTGGGTTCTTTATTACAATGTTCCTATATTATTCAGTAAATAGTTTTCATATAATTACCAGCAATGATGCATAATAGCTTCCAATGTCAACATTTGTTGAGATTCCCTCCAAATGGTTGATTCAGATACTTTTGAATTCAAGTAAGGCATTATTAACACTTTAAACATTTTAAATTAAAAACATTTTAAATAAACCATTTTATTATTAACGCTTTAAACATTTATTAACTGCTGTTTTTATAGCCTTTAACTACCGTTAACTAGTGTTTTAAACTGACAGATGTAGCTAATAATGGCTAATTTATTGTTCACAGAACCACATACATCCCAAAGAGTGCTCAGAAGGGAATCCTGAAAATCCTAAAACAGTTGCAAGCCTGTAATGCTTTAAGCAGATGGTGGGTTTCAGTGTAACCAGGGGTGAGAATAGGGTTTGGGGCTGCTGTAAGAAGGATAAGGGCTCTAGATCGGGTTCCAAAGCAAACGCTCAACAGCTTCCATATGTCTCCACCGCAGACCCCGTGGGACGAACCCACTCTCTCTGTTCTCCACTTTATCTGTGTCTACTGCTCGCTTAGAAGCTTGCAAACAGACACACCCCGCCGCACACACTCCCTGCCACAGAATCCTTAAAAACACTCCCTTATCACAGCACATAAATACAGTATGACCTAGAACAGTAGTGCAGAATGAAAAATAACACACACCACAGCTGCGCGCAGTTGCATTCTCAACAGGTGATGACACACAAGCAAAATCATGTAAACATTTTGGGGTTGATTTTCAAAAGGTTTTTGAAGTTCAACTGAGGAAAACTATGAATGGAGGTTTAGCTTACCCGTGCATTTAAGCAGCGCCAGCAAGAGCTGACTCCTTCCATCTGCAACAGAGTTACAAACAGACATGAATATAATCCAACCAACAATAATACAACACATATTGCAAGTCTTTGGAAACAGTTTTGCAATCCCATGGACACTGGACAGATGTGTGCCTGCTGTGTTTGTCAACACATTACATTACTCTAAAAACTCGACATTTAAAATAAGTTTGATATTAAATAACTTGTTAAAAGTATATTATTAAAGACATATCCAGTGGTCATGTTTTGTAAGTGGTGAAATATGTGTATTAAATAATATTATGTATCTATATGTGTATTTAATGTATAATAAATATGTGTATTAAATGTATTAAATAATATACACTGATGATCTACAGTATGCACAAGAAAAATCTAGACAGCGTATTACTAATACTGCCATTAAGCATCGTTCAGGCGTAAACATACCCTCTACAAAGCGGTGAAGGCTGTTAATTAGAGATTTGATCGAAATAGGAAGGTTCCAAGGGTCCTCCTGGATGTTCTTGTGCAAAACGTATCGCCAGCGTACAGTCCAGTCATCGGTGTGCCTAAATTCTATTAGGGAATAAAAGTATGAGTTTAAATGGAAAGACACTGACATGTGATTTGCAATGACTTATCAAGGTGTAACTAGCGGTGTGGCCTACAAAAAAAAGCCCGCCCCCAAATATATATATATATATATATATATATATATATATATATATATATATATATATATATATATATATATATATATATATATATATATATATATATATATATATATATATATATATATATATGTGTGTGTGTGTGTGTGTGTGTGTGTGTGTGTGTGTGTGTGTGTGTGTGTGTGTGTGTGTGTGTATATATATATATATATATATTTACATATTTATATACATATATATATATACATACATACATTAAAAAAAAAAAAAAAAAAAAAATATATATATATATATATATATTTTTTTTTTTTTAATGTATGTATGTATATATATATATGTGTGTGTGTGTGTGTGTGTGTGTGTGTGTGTGTGTGTGTGTGTGTGTGTGTGTATATATATAGCAATCAGAATTATTATTAAACCCCCTTTGAATTTTTTTTTTTATATTTCCCAAATTATGTTTAACAGAGCAAGGGAATTTTTCTTCTGGAGAAAGTCTTATTTGTTTTATTTTGGCTAGAATAAAAGCAGTTTTTATACTTTTTGCACTTCTTGGACTTGTTTTCTTGGTTTTACACAGAATTTTGAGGAAAAAGGTTTAAATAAAATAAGTCAGTTTTGAAATTATAGGCTCTTATTTTTAATTGCAATTTTATAAGCTGTGAGAGTCCTTCGAAGTTCATACAAGCCAAACAGAGCATTTTGAGATGATCTAGCCTACAAAGGACAGATCTGGTCACCTAGCAACTGTAACAGCTGCCTTTATAAATAATAAAAGTAGTAAAGACTTTTAAAAGTGATTTTGAATTTTATTTTCAGCAATCTGAAGGCAAAACAACATTTACAGAAGCTGGAAATTTAATTCCTTTGATCCAAACATGCACGCATAAAAATGTAAACTGTCTATAAACGTCATAAATGCAAGAAAACGATCCCAATTTTTTTCAGATTTAAAAATAAAATCTGTGGTTAAAACAAGCTGCCATACACACCCCAAAAATACATAAGGAGAAACCAGTGTGGTATTCTCGTACTCCGAGGTAATAACGTGCGGATGCAAACAGAAACTTTCACACACCCCTACCCACCTATAAAATCCCCCACACGCTAACGGAGAACAAAATACACACAACCCTCAAAGGAGTTCCCAAACATATCACGCATTCAAATATAACGCACTCACACACACACACACACCCAAGCGGGCGTTACCTGGCTGACTGTGGTCGGTGTGGAAATGCTTGGTTTCCTCGCAAGCTTTGCTCATGACAGGGCCCTTCAGAAGACTGTTGATCGAGTCAACCTGAGAACGAAAAACACAAGGTTCAGTCTGTCGCCAATCACACATCCTGCGCTAACTGAAGAGCCTGCTGTTTTCAGTCTGTCTGCATGTAACCTGTCCGCACTGGATAAAAGAGGCCATTATTGATATCTGTGAAATAGAGAGGGGTCAAAATCCGGTGACCTCCAGAAGACGATAGATTTTGAGGTCAAAGAGCAGGGGTGTGGAGGTCAAAGAGGGCTAGAGATGCAGCTAATGTGATAAATGATACTGTGAGAGTGGGAAACTAAGAGGAGATATATTGATGAAGAGCAAAAATAGAAGACAAAATAGGGAGGTGAGTGGTGTTTGACAGAGGGCAAGAGTTTGAAAGGGAATATTGTGTTTAAATTGGCAAGAGAAACTAAAAGTTTGATTTATGGGAAGGGGAAATCCATTCACCTGATTGAAAAGGTGTTCCAGACATCCGTGTAGTTTATCCTGCTTGTCAAAAGGGATCTGCATATCACATGGCAATTCATCTCCTGGAAAACAACAAATAAAAGTAGTAATCCCCCATTAGTAATTGTCCAGAATTTAAGCACTGTAACCATATCTGCCCGACGAGAGTTACCTGAACCCATCTCATCACTGCCCAGGTAAGAGCTGTTGCTGCGGACGCTGGTGTACGACAGCACTGAGTCTCGGTTACTGTTACATTCACTGTAAAACACACACACAAAAGAGTTCTCAGTTTAGGTGATGAAATGCACACTTGAAGGACTTTTTAAAAGGCTTTAAAAGAGAATTATTAGTCAATCAAAAATAAATCACACACAGAAATCAGCATTAATTAAAAAAAATGACACTTCTAAATGACAAAAAGATGCATTGAATTTGCAATCATTTTGGGGTTGTGCAATCAATCAAGTTTCTTTTTGGTCCAAAATTATTATTAATAACAATTAAACTTCATAATTGAGAAGCAAATTTGTTTTGACTTGATGATTACACCTATAAGAATGCTGTTCTTAACAAATGGCATTATCAGAGTATATACCGGAATCAGAGAGTGAAATTCAATACCTTTTAAGATTTTTTAAGACTCTTTCCATATATTTTAAAACCTTAAACCCACTTTAGGCTTCAACCGAAAACACTGACGAGATTTTAACTTACAGTATATTTACTAAGTATTAATGTAAGAAACTAACCCAAAACTACACCATTCTTCATATACTGAATGAAAATCTATTAAATCTAGCTAATTCAGCAGGTTGCGTCTGTAGAACTGGTGTTGCCTCGGTTACTGCAGTAAATCTAGCAGGATTTCATTGATTTCATAAACTATACAGCATCCTGATATTCACAGATTTAATTCAGGCAAACTTTAGCATTCAACCAAACATTGGATAATCAAAAATGACATAAAATGTAATACCTGGCAAAATTGCATTTCAGACTATTTAATACTTTTTTAAGGGAATTCAATTTCTCTACATTGATTCATAATTTTTTTATACTTTTTAAGACCCCTGCCAGCCTGATTATAATTATCACTTTATTTATTAAAAAGTATAAACATTTTGTTTTCATTTAGATATACAAGAAAAGTATGACTAAAACAATTTCTAAGTTATATAAAGCAATAAGTAATTCTTGAGGACTCTCAACAGACTATATAAGATTAAAATGGGAAAAGGAAGTAGGCATTATTTTAAATCAAGACCAATCGGTTAAAATATACGTTGTCCCACATATCTCAACAAGCTCAAGAATGTGGCATGAGTTTTGTGGAAAAAATTGATCAATCGAATCTTTTTTTACACCAAAAATTAAATCAATACAATCCGGGACTCATCATCTTTGCTGGAGGAACTGTGGGGTAGAAGAGGCACATCATGCGCATATATTCTGGCAGTGCTCAAGAATTCATAGTTTTGGGGAAACTGTACACTCCACTATCAATGACATTTTTCATCTTCATATTCCTAGATCATTCAAAGTACTTTATCTATGAGATCTTACTATTAACTTGAAAAGAAGGATAGGATATCTATTTAAGTTATTATTAGCAATAAGTAAAAAAAGCTATAACTAGGCCCACATGGAATCTGCACGTGCAGATATCTACAGATTTTTAGCCCATCATTGAGTCTATGTATTTATTTGTGTAAATGTGTGTACGTTTTTATTTATTTGTTGAATTTTTAAATTCATTTCACTAATATTTTGTGATATAATAATAGTAATATTAAAATGTTCATAGGATTTATTTACAATGCAGTTTGTAAAGTAATATTTTCTGTCTTTTAGTAGAGGTATTATATGAGAAAGTTGCTTTGTTTACCATATAAGTGGATCTAATTGGATCTGCATTGTAAACATTAAAAAAATAGTAAAATATGCATTAGGCATCACTGTGGCGCAGTGGATACGAGAGGCACGATCGACTCACAGCAAGAAGGTAGAACAAATACTATGGAAGTCAATGGTTACAGGTTTCCAGCTTTCTTCAAAATATCTTCTTTTGTGTTCAGCAGAAAAAAGAAAGTAAAACAGGTTTTGGATATTTTGGATAAACTTTCTTTTTTATTTTACATTTTTAGATTTGTTTTTATTTGTATGCTTTTTTGTGTGTAGTAGCAGAAATGTAAAAACATTACTTGTTGATCTCTTTAAGACAATAGTATGTCGATTCTAAGAGCTGAAGTCATTTCACAACAATTCAAACATCCAGTTTCAACTTTTATCCAGAAAGATTTCACTAAATTTATGTGGACGTCTTCTTGGCAGCCTTAAAATGTTTATTCAGGGAGAGAACGAAACTTTCAAAACGTCTTTTTATGCTCCCAAAACTCTCAAGGAGGAAAACAAACTGTATTTCTACCCACTAGAGGTACCGTAGAAGAGTAGCAGAATCTGCCTTTCTCCACCCCAAAACGAGAGGAGAAGCCAAATTTAGGTCCGCCACAAGCCAAGAATGGAAGCATGACCAGCAGGTTGCAAAACTCCCAGAGAGAGAGCAAAAAAAGGAGCTTTCCCTCATATTTTACCATTCAACCTCCTGAACTCTAGAAAGCTTGCGTTCCTTCTCACGCTAAACAAGAACAAACAGCCTACCTACAGTACAGTACATCCCACAGACAAATCCAGATACTTACTCTACTCTATAAACCTAACTGGAGTTAAAAAGAAACGTTTCTATGTATAAAACGGGCTGGCTGCAGCTGTTCATGAGCTCACCCTATCACAGAGTAGCAGGAGTTTAAAGCGGAACGCCACATAATGATAGAGGGTGCAGAAGCAGGCATCCGTTTATCCCGACAGAAGCATAAAAACCACTCGGCTGTGGTCAGTCTCAGCTTTGCCCTGCTCCATCAGCTCTACATCACAACCAAACACACTCTGCTCCATATAATAATGACATAACAACAGTGACTGAATGTATTCTTTAGTGGTTAAAGAGGGCGTCTGGGTCGCTGTGGGACAGCAGGTTCTTTGTGAGGGATGTTTATCGTCTCTCTACGTGTCGGTTTTAGAAACATCTGCTTGACAGGAGGAGCAGACAGGAGCTCTGCTTTCTTTATGCATACAGCGAGTGCAACAAGGCTTTCATCACTGGTGTACAATACAAGATTTCCAACTATCTATTCAATGTTTGGTACAGGGATCTCTCACAAATATGATTTGAATTGTTGTACTTAGTTTGACCAGAGATCATCAACACTGAATTGCATTGTTGTTTAGCAATGGAATTAGAAGGATCAAGAAAAACAAACTGATGAAGGCGACAAAAACAACACGCTTGTGTATGTGTGAAGGGATTGAAAGTTTTTATCTTTTCTAAATGAGTACAAGATGTGTCATCGCTCATATCTTTTAAAAAGATGGTAAAAGTCAAAGGCATAAATTGGTTTTTACATTACGCAATCATTGGGCAACACATCACAAGAAAGAGACACACACTACCCGCTTTTTTTTAAGCTCACACATGTGCTTTAAATTGTTTTTGCTCTACATTTCTCTTGTTTGTTTGTTTGTTTAAAATGTAGATCTGGATTGTACCATAATTCTGAATAGACAACTGAACAAAACCAGTAATTTACCAAAGGTCCTGAATTTTTATTTGATTTAAAAAACATGTAATTTGTAAAAAAAGGAAAGAAAAAAAAAAGAAAGAAATTAAATTTTAAAAGCAGTCTGAAAAAATATTCAACAACTTGATCATTAAACTTCACGTTTCATTCATCATACTAGATGAATCTGCATTTTGCATGAATCTCTTGAATGAACAATTCAATGACAGTTTTCTTATGGTTGCCTGTCTGCACCTATTAACATTAAAGTGTTGCTACAACCTTCATTTGAAGCGTCAAACAGCTTTTTTAAGGTGATTTTGATTTCTGCTACAGGCATCAATGTTTAGATCCCAACTATGTACGTGAAAACCAAGCGATGATCAGTTTAAAATCATTTAAAGCACGCCAAATCATTGATTAGCCACTTATTTTGTCATTATTTGTCAAGATATAGACAAGTTAAAACTAGTATTGCTCTTTGCAGTTCGAAATTTGACTAAATTTCTGTCAGTAACACTTACAAAATGTTAGATGTCATATAGCTCATAATAACACGTGTTAGCTACCTTCACATATAATTGAGCATGTTTGCTAATTGGATGATCCCTATCGACTCCCTGGTGGAGCACACGTCAGTGCCTTCAGAACTGTCAATGAGTTGCTATGGTTACTACTACCAATGTTTAAGGATAGCCCATTTGTTTCCTGAGGATTAATCTATTTTATTCCACACCATTCAGCCAGAATCAATCATTTTAACAGACCTTGGAATAAATACCGTTATCCCAATACCTCTGTGACAATCTCAATGATTGAAACACGGAATTAATAATATTGGCTGAAAAGACTAAAGATATGACCACACATAAGCCAATTTTCAATAATGAAATAAATTGTGATCATGAACATGCATAAAATCAATATCATAGGCGCTTAAAAATCTGTGAATAATTATTTATTATTTCAATTTTAAGTGTGCTTTTTAAGAATATTCAGATTGTTGTATTTCAGTGGTTGTTTATTACAGCATCAAATGCCTGAAGATTTATTAGGTAATTTATTTTCACATTAATTAATACATCATTTTACATTTGACTATTCATGTGCCTTTTGTTCTTTAACGTTGTACAGTAAGTTTCCATTTGTCATCCCGCTCTCATGCTAGTTAATACATAATCAACAAAATGATTCACAGAGAGAGCAAGTTATTTTGATTGAACAACTTTTAAAGTCATTTTGACTTTAAGCCCCCAGGCTTTAAACATTTTTAGAAAGATCACCTGAACGGTCTTTTCCTCACCTGTATGAGTCTCTGTAGCTCATGGTGTCATGTCCAGAGTCCTCCTGATCATCTTCGTTCACTTTGAAACACACTCTCTTGTTTCCGCAGTGCTCAGTCTTATCTTGGTCTGTCTCCTCTGGGATGGGGGAGGTCGAGGGGCCGCTCTCGAATGATGGAGGCTCAGAGCCCTGCGGTTGTGTTGGTCCAGTTATCGATGACAGAAGTCTAAACGACACAGATTCACAGTGTTATGGAAACTGATTACATGAATTGTTTTAATAAATGATGTGCGTATTACAATATGCAATATTTATTCAATTTTAAAATATTATTTAATATTAACTATTCTTTAAATATTAAAGTAATTTGCTTATGTTGCATTTATTGTAAAAATTTGTAAATATACTTTGAATAAAATATTGAATTAAATATTCTTATTTTTTTTTTTCTTATCTTTATTGTATATAATAAATAAAGCAAACCACGTTTTGCCACGTTCGTTGTCTGTGTGGATTCATAGCAGCTAACGTTTCAGGGAAATTAAAAAGATATTGGGTTGTCATAATTACGTTTAGCCTTTTTCATCTTCCAAGCCACACGGGGCATAATGTAATTTGGGGGCCCGTCCAGGATCTTTTCTCAGATTCGAGGAAGCGCGGATACTTTTGGTCGCCCATATTTACCCCTGGGAGTAGCTGCTGTGACCCGACACAAACATTGTGGAAATATTGAAGCTATGTAACTTAAATTGGATAATAATATGATAATAATATGTATTATAAATTTGATAATTCTTTGTAAGAGACAAGAGATAATAAGACTTTTTAATGATTGTTTACATGCTTATATGCTGTACATTTTAAAACGGTCTATTTAGTTTAGATTTTTTGAAAATGACAGCTTTCTTAGAAGTTTTTGTGAACGTTTTCACAACTGAATGAAATTAGAAAAAAATATTTATAACAAAAAATATATAAGACAACATGCTTTTGTTACTAGTTAATAGAACTACACAGAGTGTACAAAGTGAGTTAAGTGTTTTAAGATAACACGGACAAAGTGTCCCTAGTTGAACAAACACCCTTTTTTTTTTACTAATGAACTTTGTTCTTTTATAGGACAGAAACGTGTAGAATGACAGAAAGCCACTTGGAGAGAGACATTGTGGAATGTGATTGGGAAATGACTCCATTTCACTGACAATTAACTTCTACATCAGCACATGCAGGCCACTGAATAACAAACATTCGTTCCTCCTGAGAGGCTGTTGAAATGTTTCCTCTGCAGTCATCTGTTATGGCTTCAGCCTCATGTTTTTTCTGTCTAAACCATAAATATTTTTAGACTGTCATAAAAGAACATCCTGAAGATTAGAACTCCAGGAACTCGAAGCAGAACTTGTGAAAAATCTGCTAAACCATATTCTGAGAAAGTCATTGTTGCCTTTGAGTGATGCACATATTTTTTTTTACCATGCAATAAACAGTTTTTGTATGATGCAATTATATTTTTATTTCTGTTTTCAGCATTAAATATTAGAATTTTAATATTAGTTTTTTATACTGTATAATACATATAACTATTTAAAATAACTATTGTTTTTGTTATTATGATTCAAATTAAATTTATAAATGTCCACATTTTCTACAACACCCCATAAAAAATTACATATATTTTAAACAATTTCACAACACAGATGCTACTTACACATCTATCTGGGCCACGTATTGCTTCATCTCTCGGACTGCAATGTCCAGGCGGTTATAGAGGCAGATATAATTGTCCTGGCTCTCAGTGTCTTCCTGTTTTAGGAGGAAGCTGAGACCTCCCTCTTCATGTTTCCTGCTGTCCTCTGAGTTCCCTTCACCGTTCTCAGTCTCTTCATCCAAACTCTGGCAACTGAAGGACGGAGCCCCCATGCTGGTCACACAGTGCACGGAGTGGGACATGGGATTCAGGTTCGCTGCAGGAATACATTTTAGATTAATAAGTCAACAAAAAGAAGCAATCATGCAGCATAATGGAATTTGTAGCCATCCAGTCTGGAATATTTTAAGCAAAGTTGTCTCACAATTTGACTTAAAGATGACTTTGTTGACGAACAACTTAGACTTTTATTTCTAATGCTGATGATACAAAAGGTGAATTTTGAGCAATTTTGCAAAGCAATGTTGCCTGGTACTTTCCTATTAAACTTGGGCAACCATGTTGTATCTGTAACCCATTGCACTAATTATTTACCCTGTGTATCACCTGGTTGCCAATGTATGGGATAATTTCCTAAAGCTGCCCAATAACATTGTTCAAAACGTTGCTCTGTGTATCATCAGGCTATCAATTAAAAACAACATATAAAGGAAAAAATATAAAGAAAATAATGTTGTCCTTAAAAAAAAGTGACCCAAACGAGCCCTATCATACACCTGGCACAATAAGGCGCAAGATGCGTTTAGTGCCATTTTTTTTTGCAATTTTCAGACCAGTGCAACCCTAATTTTCACATTTTGTACCACATTGTTTAAATCGCAAATCCATTTAAGCCACTTTGTGGACTCATGGGCGTTCCGGTCTAAAATGTAGGTGTGTGTAACAGACGTTCTTCGTATGGGAACTCTTTTTTTCAGTTTATTCACGACAATTTGCATTTATATGGAATTATAATATTACAATTATTTATTATATGCATATTTATATTTGTTTTAATAAAAACAAGTTTAGATTTGTCCACCAGTCAGGTTTTAGGGAGTCTGCATCACTATATGGGGCATAAGAATAGGACATGTGTTTGGATATAACTCAGTTTTTTGACCACACTTTGTTATTATTGTTCATTTTTTCATTTTCTAAAAATTAGAACTGAATTAAGAAATAGTTTTGAAACAAATCTTTGCACTTAACAAACAAAATTAAATATGAAGCTAATGGATGTCTTTAATGGAGTGCTTACAACACCATTTTCTCATCCACGAAAGTAAAGGAGTAAAGAGTGAAAGTAAAGAGAAAGCAAAGAGGCTAAATGGAGGAGGCTCGTTCTTTATCCTCGCGCTGAAGACGGTTTGCTGAACTGTTTACTAAAGCATTTTGTTTTTCCCCTTACAAAGTCCACCATGTAAATAGCAAATGCACCTTGTTATGCTCAAAACACACCCATAACTCATTAAGAGAATAAGCACAACCCTGTTAGATCATCTGCCAGGGTGAAGAGCGTATTTTTTCGTCCTTAAAATAGCAAAAGTGGATTCAGACATGCCCTTAGTGCTTTTGCGCCATACGATCTAGACTGTACGCCTAGATTGTGAAAAAAACCAGCTCAAAGTTTGTAATAGTGTACATATTTACAGTACGTATATTTATTTACTAAAAAGCAATTACTGTCATACAATCAACATAAGTGTCATTTTTCATTTCAGATGTGGTGAATAAGCTGTAAGGTTTTTAAAGTAAGTATTTCAAAGATGATGTTTGATTTATTCTTATATGCAACATTAGGAGAATTACATCGCACTTTATATTAAGTGGCTTAAAATTGGTTGTGTATAATTCTTAGAATTGGGTTCAATCTTGCTTCAAATATATTCATCTGGAGTCTAAGGCAATAAGTTATTCTTTCCATCATAAATTTCAAAATTTTTTGATCCATTATTCATATGTAGGAGGGTCTCATCTGAGCCAGTTAGACGTAACACATTTTAGTGCTGCAGAAAACAACATTTAAAATTTTTATGGTGCTTTTTGAGGTGAGCTATAGGTAAGGTTAGGGTGTTTATAGGTAGGTTTAAGGGCAAGCTAAGGTTTAAGGGATGGGCGGTTTAAGGTTTAAGGGATAAATACATCAGTGTATTTATAAATCTGATTACAGAAAACAATAACAGATGTATTTAAATGCAGATAAAAATGTAACTAATGAAATTAAAATGCAGATAATCTCTAAAATACAATGCAAAAAACATGTATGTGCACAATCGGTACATTGTACCAAATTATTAATTTAAATGTAAGTACATAGTTATTAAGGCCACTTAATATTAATTGAGTTTGGATTTTATTCCATCAATGTTATGTAATAATGATCATTACACCCGAATACGCAATAATGATTGGCGTAAGATTAATGCATTTAAGTGTTATATTGCCGTCTAGAGACAAGCTCGGTAGGTTTGGACCTTCTGAGACTCAATAAAACAGAAGACCGAATGGTTGAAAAGCAGTGAGGCGTATTCATGCATGTGGTAAAGCCATGGACCATGAGACTTTAGGCCTACAGAGAAGAGTTGCAGAGGAATTTTAAACATCTCTGACCGTGAGACAACTGCAGAGCAGATGTGTAGCGGAGAGAGCAAAATAAAAAGCTCTCATGCTGTGGAGCATAAGGAACAAGGCATTATGTGGTTCTTTTCCCAGCTACACATGGTGGCTAGACAGTAAGTTGGGCTAGAGAAATCTGAGCAGGTGGAGCCAAAAATATAAGCCAGATGGAGCAGCCTCACCTCTTGTGGTCTGAGGGATGTCCTCTTGAATTTAGAATTTTCAATTTCAAATATATATATAGCTGTTGTGCAGTTGTATCATTTAGATATACTGCTGCTAATCATAAATGACAGCATTTTTCAAAAATATCTCACACCTGACTAAAAGTCACACCAGGTCAATTGTTGAGAGATAAAGCATATTAATGTTGTTTTTTAAATATAAGTTCCTTCAGAATTACTGTATGTTTACAGAATTGAAATGTTTACAGAATTACTGTAGAATATGATTAGCTCTCATTATTTTCAAATGATATTTATTTTCAGTTCAAAGCACGATCTTTAAATGTAAAATACTCAGAACAGAAAAGGAAATAAAAAAGTATAAAGCAAATAATGAACTATAATGGCATTTACTATATTTAATATTACACTAAAGCCTAAATTAAATCAGCAATAAATTAATTATTTTTTTAACAACATCTCCAACTCTGGAGTGCTGAGTTTACAAATCTATATATGACGGAAGAAGCTATGGTTTGCCTTCTTAAATAAAGCCTGAAGACTCATAAACAGTGATGATAAGAGTGAGATGCAGGCCTCGGGGAGTGGAAGACTGAAGGCCTGTGGGATTGAGGAGGATGACATCACTAAAAGCTGCTTGTTATGGCCTAATGGTGTCTTAATGGAGGTCTGATGGAGACACTTTAAAAAGGCTCTGGATCACTTTGGGAATAGAAGGCAATGCATTTTACGAGACCTAGGAGGTTTTCACCATAAAGCTTAATTACTCTTTTACAACTTTCAATGATTGTATTGTGGAGATTTGGTTTACTCAGCCCATAAGCTGATTCTACAGTGTAAATAATTCCTGAGGAAGTCATTTGGAGGGATTTTAACATGGTCATATTTAACTGAAATCAATTCTTAGACTTAAAAAAAAAATCTAGTCTATATAACTCATTTTGTTTAGATTTTATGAGAAGGAAAATTAATAAAACTCATTATAGAATAAAACAACAAATAAAAAAGCAGAGTATTGGAATCCCTTTAGTTATAAATTGCTACCATAACTATGCACCTTGGTCAGGATCAAGGCCGAAGAAGGAGTTCTTGCGTCCAAAGCGGATGCTAAAGGCCCGTCCTGCTGAGGAGGTATTTTTCGGGCAGGACACCTGCATCAGGTTAAGGTGACAGTTGGTGGGGACGAAGTCCATGCAGCCCAGAATGTGCGGTTTAGTGCTCGCCTGCTTAAACGTGGGCCAGGCCTTCGTCTGCAGTTCCTCTACAAACTGATGAGGACAGAATATAAAAGCACAATGAAATCATACTTAATATCTGTTAAATATTAGATTTTTAAAAACTGACATTAAATAAATTTAAAAAATATATATTTGTAGTTTATATAGTGTTCTCAAACTCTGTCCAGGATCCTGCAGATTTTAGCTCCAACTTGCCTCAACACACCTGCAAGGATGTTCCTAGAAAGCCTAGTAAGAGCTTGATTAGCTAGCCCAGGTGTGTCTGATTGGAGTAGGAGCTAAATTCTACAGGACACCGAACTTCCAGGACCGAGGTTGAAAATTCATGGTGTATATGAACCTAATGCTGGCTTCACACCAAATGTCAAGATACCACACCTATTGCTCCACTCACTCTAGTTTACTCACTGGATTTTTAACACATCTCATGAATGCTCGACTTGTGTAAAATAATTTTTTTACTTCGATGGAAAACACAACTAAGTCAAATATTCCATGAGTGTGGCATGCACAACACACATTTCACATCACCTGCACTGACTTTGAAAGAATTTACTCACATTAACCCTTAAATTGCATTTGTTAAACCCAGCATAAGGCCCTAATTTAGTCACAGTGAAGATATTTTAGATTTTTTGTAAGTAAACTACTTTGCAGAAAAGGTATGATACATTTGGTTAACTTTTAGCAAAGATCCAGAGGCTCATTAAGGCTCATTAATAAAAACATGAACGCATAGCAAAAGACCAGTTACAATAGCATTTGATCTGGTGACAAATATTTTAGGACTCGCTTTACAATGCATTAGCTATAAGGTGTCTAAAATTTTTTCCATTATTTACTATAGATAATTCTAACATAACACGATCTTAGTGGATAGCTCAAAAAAAAAAAAAAAAAAAATTCTGTTATCAGATACTCACTCTTGATAATTTTTGATGATGCTTTCATTTTTTAGTTAACTATCCATTTAAATCTTAACAACAAGATGCATATCTCACCTGCTTATAGCTGCTAATGCGTTTATCTATGCTCTCCAGCTTGGTGTCACAGATGTTTCGAAACTCAAACTGTGGCATCGTCACAACCTTATCATTCAGAGCCATTAGCTGCCGACAGCTCTTCACAAACAGACTATCATCCTTCACAAAAGCTTTCAGTATCTGAAACACAGGAACAAACAATAGGTTAGATATATATACATATATACAAAGGTATTGCCTTCTTTGGATATCCATCTTAGAATTTTCTATATGTATATGCATAGGCAAAATAATGGATTGTCATAAACAAAATGCAAAAAATGACACATTTATTGTTTGACCCTGGTGTGTCTGACCTTTGCAGTAAGGTTGAAGCAGCCCTTGGGCTCCACCATCTTCTCCAGCACGCAGTGTTTGATGCCTGCAGGGCTGACATACTCATACACAACCCCATGTTCAACATGAACATTGTCTACATTCAGACTGACCAAAGGACCATCATCAGAGATGGACAACTGCTCCAGCCTTCTTACAGAGCCTAAAAAAACACAGGCATAAAGGATAAAGAATTTAACAGGAATACTGTACATCACATTACTTATATACAAAACATATATCAGGGTTTGTACCGGTTTCATCAAGTCAAATTTAGGACTTTTAAAGACCTTTTTAAGACGATTAAAATCAAAGGTCAGACTTAAACATGGCTAAACTCTAAGAATTATTTCTAATGGCCCAGTTAAAATATATTTTATTGTGGGAAGATAAACCAAATTGTGTTGTCGTGCGCGTACTGAAGAGCGGTGTTGTCGCGCGCGTACTGAAGAGCGGTGTTGTCGCGCGCGTACTGAAGAGCGGTGTTGTCGTGCGCGTACTGAAGAGCGGTGTTGTCGCGCGCATTCTGCTGATCAGCGGTGTTGTTGCGCACATACTAAAAAAAAAAGGGAGGGGGGGGGGGTTGCGCGCGTACTCAAGAGCGGTGTTGTAGCACACCTACTGAAGAGCGGTAGGATGGAGTGGGGCTGTGTCGCGGGGGCACTTTTGATCATTTTGGAACGGCACTTTGTATCCAAGACTAAAAAGGGCATGTGCACTGCACAGGTTGAGCCCTATGTGTGCACGTGCCTGTTGTGATGGAATGTTAGCAATTGGATGTTGGGTGTTTACATGGACATAGGAAAATTAAGACTTGTTTATAATGATTTATGACTTACAACACAATAATTCAGTGATTTTAAGAATTTTAAAGGCCTAAAATTTAAGACATTTTAAGACCCTGAGGATACCCTGATATATACATTTTGGGTCAAGCCTGAAACTATTTATACCACTGGGGTATGAATAACTTCGGATTTCAGACTTGACTGTACAAATTACTGCTCAAGAGTTTGGTTTGAGCACTATTTTTTACATAATTTTGTAAGCACCATAGACACTGAGGTAGACAAGCGACTAGATAGAAATTAGAAATACTGTAGGAAGCATTTTTATTCAATTAACAAACTAACAACAGTAAATAATATAAACAAAAGGAAAATTTGGTCCTCAGTGTTTAAGACATGGTTGTGGCCATTTACTGATATGGTAAAACCTCCAATATTGTGAAAAAGTGTTATATTTTGGAAATGTAAGATTAAAAAACAGCTGCTTGTTTTGTCATAAACTGAATACATTATATTATTTGAATACACTGAATTAATATATATGAATTTTCAACAGCAATAAATAATCAAGTGTCACATTATCATTAATGCTAATTCAGTTCTTGCAAAGAAATGAGTAAGAAACATTTCTTTTTGTCAATGTGTGCAGCTTGAATGAAAATGTATTAATATTATAAATGTATATTGTCAGTTTTTTAAGGATGAAAATACTGTGACAGTTCAATGTATGAAACTATTATTTATTTAAATTCACAAAATACGACATGGAAAAAGACTCTTTGGTCTTGGTAGGAGCTCATGAACTTGACAAAACCTTTCATTCAAAACAACACTAGATCTATTGTCCCCCTATTGTTCTGGAAACAATAATAAATTTTAAGGTACACCTGCCACACTGAGTTTTTTTTTTCCCAGCAAACAAACAAACAAACACGCACGCACGCACGCACGCACGCACGCACGCACGCACGCACGCACGCACGCACGCACGCACGCACGCACGCACGCACGCACGCACGCACACACACACACACACACACACACACACACACACACGCACGCACGCACGCACGCACACACGCACACACACACACACACACACACACACACACACACACACACACTACCTGTTCCATTAGTGCAGCCGTCTTCTGAATCTGAGCCATTCTCACAACCCCTAAAAGACATCTGCTCCTCCACATCCTCATACACTCTGTACGCCCACTGACCACAGCTCTGGGGCACAAGGAAAAAAAACAACAATATATCACAAAGAGAGGAAACAGGTACTATATAGGGTATCAGAAACAAACAACCCTTTGGATCACCATACGGGGTTCAACATATTGTGTAGAAACACAAAGCAGAGCAAATGCAGTGCTGATTCTCACAGTGTCTTGCTGCTCCAAAACAGGCTGATAGCCACTGAAGTGCTCCAGGACTTCCTGATAGCCGCTCTGGTTCATGTTGTTGCCGTTGACTTTAAGCACACACTGACCGGGCTGAAGACCTGCTGCTGCTGCCTCTGAGCCTGTATACACACAAAAATGATGCTTATAATGGGCAATGACCCTAAGTCAGTGTTTCTCAACCACATTCATGAAGGCCTACCAACACTGCATGTTTTAGATGTCTCCACTGTTCTCTAGGAAAGTAGTTGAGAAATACTGCCTTAAGTGATGCAAATGCATTTTTAATGACAAATGGTTAATAACGCTAGACATTCTATAAACGAAGACCCTCTTTCTATCTTGTAATAATGTGCATTTCAGTCATCTGATTGTAAATAGTTAGCAGACACGCCTAACCGTTTTTACTTGGTATTGTGTTTAGTGCATCCTGTTTGACCAGAGATTCATTCACACAGAATGAGTTTTTCCATGCCAATATTCCCCATTATTTTTATAAACAAGCACACTGGACAGCTGCGTCATGCTATCATCTCGCATTTTTGCAGTGGTTTCCACAATTTCAAGTTTTACACGCAGCACTGCCCATAAATGTCAGTTCCAAAGCAGTGGATCAATCAGAAGAACTTGGTGGGGCAAGCGGTGCAAGCTTCTGTTTACAGTAGAAGCTGACATGACAACTGTTTTATCTGAGGCAACATGGCAGAGGAGCCAATTCTTTAAAAACTGGTCCCAAGCACTGCATACTGTGGTTTTACTCACAAAGACACGTTCTGTGAGAATGGTCCCTTATTTTGTCAAGCTCAACATCACTTTTATAAGACAACCTCACACAAGTAGAATAAGCAGGAAAACAAACAAATGAAAAGGATGTGGGTCACAACCATGATTAGATCGTAATTCATCTGGTTTGGTAAAACACAGTGATGTGTTAATACCTTGTTTTGGTGCAATTTGTTGTCATTGGTGGTAGGTAGATCTACTACTAATGACGTACACTCTAATGAGAGCCAAAAAACATGTATTAGCAAAGTTTTTTACAGTCAACAGAATGTGGGCAGAATCAAAACAAAGTGTAATGAAAAATTATATTTACATCTTATTACACTAATATGTTTTACGTTTAAAACGCACAAGTTTCAGTACGGTTAAGCCATCCGTCCACACTACGCCAGAGTTTTCAAGTGCCGAAAACAGAGCTTTTTTAAAACGCTGAAGAGGCCATTTTCATTTTAAAACGCTGCTGCTCCGTGTTAGTGGGGAAAATGAAGACATCAGAAAACGGAGGCAGGGCTGTAGACATTCGCCTATGATTAGGGCTTTTTCCTCAATATTAAGTCGCCTTAACACACATTTCAGTCCTGCATCCTCTCCTTGTAAGTTGTGGAAAATATACTCCCGAGGATATGTCGGGTTAATTTTCAAAGGGAACTGTGTAATTTATAACCTTATTCACAATACCCAGGTTACACTTGTTTCACTTTCTAACAAAAAAAATAGTATAAGGAACTGCCTATTTTAATTTTGATATAAGCAACTTTACAGACACCAAAAATGTTGAGGCGTCGTGTAGCTGCATATTTATATGACCATTATCTTCACTGTATGCGTATTTATAACAAAACGGAGCCTATAACATAACTGCCTGCCTTCATTTTCATTGAAAATACGAAACATACCCTGTTTCTTTTGATGAATATCAGATTTAATGATCAATAATAACCATTATAAAAGTATAATAATATAGGAAATAAAGGCAAGCAATCAGTCAAATGTGCAGAATCAGTGTATGTGGTAACATAAATTAATATATTAACTTTGCACTCAGCCAATACAAGCTATGGGAGAACAAGTAATAGAATCAAAAGACCAGTCGGAGAATATGCAGTTAGATATGGACAAACAGATGAATTAAATATCAGGTATAACAAATATAGTGAGATTAGATCCTTGATGAACAGTCCGACGTGCACAGCTCTCATATGGATAGATTTGCTCAAAGCACACTGCATTGCATGCCAAAGTGTGTGTGTGTGTGGTCACGTGATGTGTGTTTTCAGTGGTGTAGTGTGGATGGAGAGTTGTTCAGAAACACTGGATGATGGATCATTTTTAATTTTAAAATGCTGTTTAACTAAAACTAAAATGTATTATAAACAGGGCATAAATCCAAACCAGTTTTGTGACCGATGTGATGTTGCATCAGTCCATCAAAGTTTGTTGTGCTTCAATAAATTTTAAATGCAATGTGGGTTTCTGCTTCTTTACTGCCCATGATTCTTTAATATCTACTGATGCTTTTATTCTTTACAGCGTGTAAAGTTTCTTTAGACTATAATAATCATATTTGAAACTAACAAAATAGTTATTTTACGAACTGTTCACTGAAATCATCTTTGAATAACCAATCATTCGATAACATTTAGTTTAGCTTTTTATAATGCATGTACTTACAGTTACCTGTCCTGATATGTCAGCTCAATGAAAAATGAAAGATAATAAATCTCATTATGCCTATGATGAGAGAGTGTGCAACAACAAAAAAATTTCGAGAGCCAAAAAAATAGCAGAGATGTATAGATTTGAATTGCATGATTTCGATGTCTTGCAGCAACAAAAAGATTTAAAATACAGGAAGAACATATAATTACTATATATATATATTAACGTGAAAATTTCACCTATTCTCACTTCTGCCTTTAATAGAGCACTTATTCTGGAATTTACACCCCCTGTATTCAGGGGCACTTGCAGTGATGAAAGCTCCCATAATGACAGATCATAAATCTCAGCTTTTGTCTAAGTGCCCTGAAGATGAGCTAACCGCTTTCACTTCAAAAGCTACTAGAATGTGCTTTTTTTCCAATCCAGAAACATGTGCAAGGACGCTGAGTTTGGGTTCAGTTGTTGAAGAGCTCCAGATGCCGATCACATGACCACGGCAGCCTGGTGTCACGAATTTGCTTCATTTGAAGGCTTTTTATAGTACATAACCATCTGTCTTGCAGGTTAGGAGGGAATGTGATACTTTCCTTATTTCAGAATGACGTGTGTGATTTTTTACGAAGAGAAAAAAAAGCTGAATGGGTCTGGCCATAATTATTTATGAACTTGATGATGTGCGGGTGTTTTTAGCTCATAAACAATGAGAACTCACCTTTCTTCACTGCATGAATGTGAGGTGGACAAGAACCAGAGAGAACAAACGGAAGGGTGCCATGAACATCTGGGATCTTTACAATCCTATTAGACACACAAACACACACACACAAGAACACAATATGCATTTTTTCCTCTCTGTGCTGTTAAGCAGAATATTTCTTTTCAGTGATATCTTTATTAGGGACACATTAAACTGTCTACATCAAAAACAATAAGTGCCCACAGCTGTTTAAACATTAATGCATTCTCTTTTGAAAGCAATGTTTTGTAGTGCAACTATAATACCAGTAGTGTCCATTTACACTGTACGTGGTTACATTTAACAGGTCTGTGTATCTGATTTCTTCCATGAACTTGGACTCACTCTTTGTTCTTGGTGGCCACCAGCAGTCTGAGTGAGCGGCGTATACAGAAAGACTGGTTGATCATGGTCTCCACTTCAGAAAAGGGCCTCAGGAACACCAGGTCCTCATTAATGGAGTAGATCTTTCTCCCCGGCTGCAGGCCTGCCATCTGCGCAAAAGGCAAAACATGGAAATGAACGGAATAAACATCAAGAATCCAGCTGACAAAAATCAACAACGAGAGGAAAGCAAATGAGGATGTCATTCATAACACTTTTCGTTGCTGTGCGTGAGCTTGGGGAAAAGAGATAAGTGATATGTTAATGAGGATTATTGGATGAATTGAGAGAAAACGCACCTTTATGGCAAGAGAGCTTTATATAGCTTAAAAGCTTTATAAGATGTAATCTGGACTTTCAGATCACCGGGCAGTTCATTTGATGGTGTGATTAAAAATGTGTGATTGTAAGGAAGAAAGGAAGGCAAGAATGAAGGAGCTATAGAAAAACAAGAGAAGAGGAAAAAAGAATAAAAAAGATTAATAAGATGAAAGATGGAAAAATAAAAAAGAAGGAAACAGCACAAAGAAAAGGAACAAAAAAGAAAAAAGAAAGGTAGGAATTAAGGAACTAAAAGTTTGGAATGAAAGAACAAAACACTTAAAGTTGACAGGATGGTAATGATGAAACAAGGGAGGAAAAAAGTGAAGAAGTTAGAAAATGAGAGGAAGCATGCGAGGAAGGAAGATCATGACGAAGGAAGTGAGGGAAGAATGTGAGTAAGAAAGTGAGAGAGGAAGGAAGAAAGGAAGGATGAACTTAAGGAAGAACATAAGGAAGTGAATAAGGAAGGAAGTGAGGGAGAAGCAAAGTGAAAAGTGAGTAAGGAAATGAGGAAAAAAGGAAAGAAATGAGGGAGGGAGGAAGGAAGAGTGGAAGAAAGGAAGGAGCATGTGAGGAAGGAAGGAAGGAAGTATGGAAGAAAGGACGGAAGAAAGGAAGGAAGCAAGTGAGGAAGGAAGGAAGGAAGGAAGGAGCAAAGGAAGGAAGAAAATTAGGGAGGAAGGAAGGACAATAGAAAGAAGGGAAGCACATGAGAAAGAAAGGAACAAAAGAACCACATGAAGAAGGAAGAAAGGAAAGAAGAAGGACGCGAGGAAGGAAGTGGAAGAAGAAAGTGAGGAAATAAGAAAGAAAATTAGAAAGAAAGGAAAGAAAGTAGGAAATGAGAGAGTAAGGTAGGAAAAAAGGAAGAAAGCATGTGAGAGAGAAAAGAAGTGAGGGAAGAAGAAAGAGAAAGAAAAAAGGAAGGAAGTAGGGAGAGAAGAATGGAAAAAGGAGGGAGAAAGAAGGGAAGGAAAGAAAGAAAGGAAGCATGTGAGTAAGGAAGGAAGGGAGGAAGGAAGGAAGGAAAGAAAAAAGGAAGGAAGCACATGAGGAGGGAAGTGGGTGAGGAAGAAAGTGAGAAAGGAAGGAAGGTAGAAAGGAAGGAAGGAAGGAAGGAAGGAAGGAAGGAAGGAAGGATGTGAGGAAGAAAAGAAGCAAAAGCATATAAGGAAAGCGCAAAAGACCTCATAAAAGACAGGAAAAAAGAAATAAATAAAAGTGGGAAGGAAGAAAAGAAAGGAGGATGAAAGCAGGAAAAGAATAAATGAAAGGTTATCGAAAGAAAAAAAACCTACACATTTGTAACAGAACTTTGTTAGCTGTAAGAAAGGAAGGAATAGAGGGATCAGCGAATAAATTTAAGCAAAAAGAAGGAAAGAGAGCATGAAAACAAGACAGAAAGGGCAAGTTTTGAAGAAGAAGAGAAGTGTGAGGACTCTGTGGAGAATATGATGGGACATGCTTAATTGCTTGTCCCACATCTCCAGAGAGCAGAGCTGTGAAGACCAAGGCAGTGGAATGAATTAAGCAAGCGTGTCCTGAACCCGACACGTCAGCTCATGACTGCAGATCTGAGCGTCCCGTGATGCAAATGTGTCAGGACACACAGCGGTTCTACTCATCTACTACAATAATCAACCAATACAATCACACTCCAGTCTTCTGCAGATGGTCCATTGAGCAGAAGTGTGACATTTTAACGTGGACAGAATGTCTCGTGTCAGGTCTAACACACACCAAGGGGATAAAACAAGTGGTGGTTTGGAACTTAACTATAAATATCTACCAATCTTTATCTATAAATATCTGGCAGAGCTGTACAGATCATGAACACAAATAACCCTCTGCACTCAAAATAACGCATCCAAGCTGAAGAGTCCTCCTCTAAATGATAGATAATGATCATCATTTATTCCCCAAGGGAAGACAAATCAGATTAGATCAGCACTGCACATCCAACTCAAGACCTGGTAAACAATCTCAGCTAGACTAGACACCAACAACAGACTTTCAGAGCTTGGCCTTCAACTGAGGTTTAAGATAGGTGACTATTTTATAAGAGAACTCCACACTGTAGACAAAAATAAATGGACATCTATCAGTTTGTATTACAGTGGAGCGTGGCAGAATTCAGGGATGCAGCACTTGCTCTATTTACTATATTCATATACACACTGGCCAATTTTTTAGGTACATCTTGCTAATACCCGATTGTAGATCTTTTGCCTTCAGATCTCCGTTGTTCCACAAGATGGTAGAAATATTCCTCAGTAGTTTTGTCTCATGATAGAATTACAGATTTGCTGGCTACTCATGCATGATGGGTGTTCTGTTGATTTGTCCTACCTCCCATTCAAAAAGTAGATAGCACAATTCAATAACACAATATGCTACCCGACAGATTTTGCTACCTGTTTAAATTTTAATGTAGATTAGTGTGATATGAAGCTTTAATATTGCTCTTACCTACCTAATCCCTAACCCAAACTATTCAAACACAGTGTTGGTAGCACTGTAATATGACGGGTAGGATAGGGGAATTTCCCATTCCAGCTCAACCCAAAAGTCCTCTATTGGATTCAGATCTGGTGACCTTGGAAGCTTGGAGAAGTTCAATAAACCAGTTTGAGCTGTTTAAAGCTGTATCATGGAGGGCTGTTCTGGAAGTTGTCATCACATAAGTTGCACTGTAGTCATAGGAGGATCGAGATCTACAAAGTGCGTCAAGAAAGACTACCTGACTCCAATAAAGAGGGAGACGGGAGGGGGGGGCAAGCGTGCTTTGGTCCGGTTCAAGGCAGCTGTACACAGTGCGAGTATGCACTAATATGTTCATTCTTTATCCAGTGGCAACAACAAGCCATTTTCACCCACTGAACTGCCACTCACTGGATATCTTATAATTTAACACCCGTCTATGTAAATCCTATAGACCAGTGGTTCTCAAACTTTTTTCACCAAGTACCACCTCAGAAAAAAATTGTCTCTCCAAGTACCACCATATAAACGATATTGAAATACAGTAGCGTAGTAGGCCTAATTAAGCGAATACAGCTTTGCACAGATTAATTCATATTATTATGAAATTGTATTATTTGCAGCAACTTTAAACATTATATATAGTTTGAACATTAACACTGTACTGTGCTTACAGGTAAAAAAAAAGATTAAATAAAATGTCAACATTTAAATTCTGATGTGCTTTTAAAAGTTAATTATCAGCGATTCCTCCGTGTACCACTAGAAGGAAGCCTGCGTACCACTAGTGGTACATGTACCACAGTTTGAGAACCAATGCTATAGACATTTATCCTGAAAAATCCAACAGAGCAGTAATTTCTGAAATACTCTAGAACAGGGGTGTCAAACGTACAACCCGCGGGCCGGATTAGGCCCGCAAACTAATTTAATACGGCCTGCGACATGATTCTGTGAGCTGAAAATTTTCAATAAAATTTACTGCTGTTTCATTGTGTCCACTGTGTGCGCGATTTGTCACTCATACAGAAATTCTCACGTGCTCTGCAGACCCACTAAGACGCGATTTTTTTGCAATAATGTTTAATTTTGTTCATTTATTTTTTAGATTTATTTCTCATTTGCTGCATATTTTATTAATTTAATGCTGCTAAAATATTATATACTTTATACAAATCTAAAATGTTTTGACAATACTGTAAATGTCATTCTAATAGAGAGAGAGAGAGAGAGAGAGAGAGAGAGAGAGAGAGAGAGAGAGAGCACCCTTTACCTGTCAGTGGGTGCACATGTCTCCTAAATAGCATAAAAGTAAGAGAAATAGTGGATTTCCATTATTTCAACAGCCTTTTTAAAATAACTTTAACAAATTAAAAAGAAAAGGTGTATAACAGTGTCATCATAAATAAAAATCAAGTTAAAAATCACATTATTTTTTGTTTGTTGCATGTAGTTGACCATTAATGTACTGTGGGGAAAAAAGGTGTTTTTCAATCAGGCTACCGCTGCAAGTATATTTTCAACCTGTGGGAAGCCCTGCACACTGAGGTTATCTCACGAGGAACTGTAACTATTTTACGTTTTGTCAGTTTAGTGGCTATTTCGTAGGAGTTCGGTCATATGAAAATGTACCATTTGAAAAAGAAGGCATGGTACCACCGCCACATATTTTTTGTAAAATAAGCGCAATCTAAAGGCCTTTGCCTTTCATATAAGCCATTTCTGATACCAAATGATCAACTAGAAGTCAAGTTATTATTTGTTGTTTGTTGGTTTTTTCACGTAGTGTATGTATGTACATGTAATGTTGTTTGTGAGTCTGATTGAGGCACAGAAACCTGAAGAACTTGAGGAAAGACATCATACCTCTGCATATGATCCTCTGCTCACACTCTTCACTATAATGGCCTTGTTCTTCTCTTCAATCTCAAACCCATAGTCCTCTTCTTCAGGATGGATCTGTGCACGGACAACAGAAACACTATCTCAGCGTCAGGGTCAGTACTGGCAATAAAGCTTGCATATATAATGGCTTCCTTTATGCAACTAAGAAAAAAAAAGTGTTACTTCCAGAATATAAATTGTGATTTAGCAGTTCAGTGCCACGCTGAGAGAGCAACAGCGTTCGTGCAAAAGTGTGAACACGCTACACATCCTTTAGTCCAAAAGGTGTAAAGGCTGGTCTTCTAAAAATAACTAAACGTTAATCTACACACATATGCCACGGATGCAGGTTATTAGGCCTGCTCAGTTGCTGAAGACACAGAGAAAGGATGGTAATTTCCAGATTATAACAAGTACATAATCCTCACTTTCTCCACAGCAACTCATGTAACATGCTTTTATGAGCTTTTATTATTAAAGAGCTAAATCAAAATATATTTACAAGTCCTGTGAATGTTTGACTTTGTTTCTTTGTATCCATCATGGCTTGTTTTCTCTCTAAAATTGCAGTAGTGTGACGTGCAAGAGCAGGGTAAATCGAGAAGCTCTTAGCCTCTGATAAGAGAGGGGAAAGAGCACCATTTTTATGCGTTGGATGGTCTGGAGGAGGATTCTGTGAGTCTATAAGCAACGAAAGAGTATTTTGTAAAGGTCAGGGTAATTACTGATGGATGAGAAGGGTCTAATTGGCACAGAGGAGAAAAAAATCAATATGTGGCATGAGTGTATATAGACGTACGTGTGTGTGTCTAAAATACTAAAATATAGGTGACTGTGTTTTACAAATGCAAAACACTTTAAGTATGAAATTGTGTTTTTTTTCTCTAATTTCCATTTCCAAAACTATATTTGATCCTAAGATCAGCTGTTTAAACTTGTTCTGAATCAGGTTTCTTTTATACATGTGAGGTTACAAGCTAGAGGCTTGCACAGGAAAATTTTTTTAGTCCTGCTCCCGCAAGGTTTTTTTTCCACATCTGACTGCTCCTTCTGTATATTCAGCATTTGTTTACCCGCTGCCCGCTTAAAAAAATGTTCTGCCCGACCCAATTGTTTCCACTAAATTTAGAATTGGGTACTACCAAAAGAGATAACAGACAAAACTGCAGGTTGCGCAGTTATTGTAGTTTTGTAGGCTACATGTCAGTTTTGTTTGCCCCTTTGTAATGAGACATGAGTGCTGCCTTAAACCTGAGGTTCTAGTCTTGTGCTAAAGGGTAAAACTTTAAGGTATTAATCACATCTCACAAATTTTTTTCCATTTGCATCTATGGCGCATGAAAAAGACTCCCATACATCAGACTTGCCTGATGAGGGTTTCCTTAAAGTAAACTGACTGTTTTCTAATGCAAGCTGATGGACAGCGCATCTTCACTTTTCTCTGCCAGGTTGGTAAAGCCCGCTCTGAGGACTGTTATGCAGATTATGCACACACAGACTGTGTTGAAAAAAAAGCAAAAAGCACTGGTCATATGTTCAACATGTGTAACTGGTGATATTGGTGCTCAATAAGAATGAGGAAATCATAGATATGCTATTCTGAAATACTGTCGGGACTCAGGAATGCTATTGTGTTGGCCCACCCGCTTCTGTTCAAATTACATTGGAGTTCCTGATTGGGAAATTTATTCCACCGCCTCAAGCATTTAAGCATTAAATCTACAAAATTCTATAATGTTGTAAGCTTAAAACACTTTTATAAAATTCATTCATTAAAAAAAAAAATATCTACAGATTCTTATCTGACCTTGAATATCATGATTAAAAGAAAAATACTACCATGTAATTGCAATTATGTGGAGTAGATATTTACATTTTGAATTTTTATATTCATTATTTGCCTATTTCCCTTTTAAAAAGTCAACACTGTGTGATGTCATCATTTATACATTGAAGTATTCATAAAAATTCTGTCTGTTCAAAGTCAAGTGTTGCTACCCATTAATAAAAATAATACATTTAATAAAACACTTATTTATTTACAGTAACAAAGAATCCTTTTTCTACTGAAAGATGACATAATGGGATTCTATTAATGGCCATTATGGGATTCAACGAACCATAAAATTGACATGAACTGTCAAGTCAAGAAAGACACAAATGAATTAAAGCTACATTTGAAATAAAAATGATAGAAAAAGTCTTTATTTCTCTATTTATTGCACAGCCATGATGCTGTTATCAGAAAAGCTACAGCATTTTGAAAGAAGTTCGTCATGCTACTGAAAATATGGCTAAGTTAGTAGCATTGTTAGCTTATTATACCCCAACACAGCTCTGCATGGGGTGAAACCCCTACTGTGTGCATGTCTCACCACTAAAGATTTGGCAAGGATGTTCTCGATGAGTTTGAAGTCGCTGCGAAGCTGTTTACTCTTGGAGCTTGTGCCCTCCGTCTCCTCATCAGCGTAGAAGCGGAAAAACTGTGACTCATCTTTAAATTCACTCTTCTCCAAAACTGCAAATGACACAAAGTCAGAATTGAATTTAGTGGTCTGAATAAAAAACACAGGCGTTCACTTTCATAAACAGGTAAAACAAAACTCAGAGATCATATCTGATGATGACAAAATGATTTGACAGTGTGGAAAGGACCGATTGCATCACCCTTCAGTTCATGTCAAAACAACTCGTGATGTCTGCAGGACTGATGCTTTGGCAAATCTAAGCTGAAGGATGGAGGAAAAGGGTTTAATGGAGGTATGTTGTGTGTGAATGTGCTGTTTTTCCCTCTCAGGAAGACGGTGATAATGTGTGTGTGTTTTCAGGAACTATGCAAGGACTGGCTGTTCCGTCTGTGAATTCCAAGCAAAATATTGTGGAGGACTGTTTTGGAAGTTGAGATCGGACATGACCACAAAACACTTCTAAAACTCTGACAGGAGGCATGTGTCTATAAGCACATGCATTTCATCGGAAAAAAAGAAGTTATTTTCCATTATTGGGAATATTTCTGTTTCTTTAGAGTCTCCACATGTTGCTCCAACAGCTGTTTATATCAAAAACACTCTCGTCTTTAGCCATTCCACCCTTCATGTCTCAAATAAACAATCAAAACCACTAGCAGACCTAATCAGAATGTGATAAAAACCATCAACACAAAAGAATGCAGGAGACTAATATTGTTTTCATCAAAGATGTTGATGGCCCTGATCTATAATCCTTGAAAAACCATAGCTTCATCAGACTTTTTGTTTTATTCCTTTCCCTTTCACTTCATACACAAACCCTGCTATGGTTCAAAGCTTTGATCTAGACAACGTGTTGCAATGGCAAACTGAGAAAGTCATCAAAAACTACAAAATTTGAAGTTTATTTATTGATGATGTAAATCATTTTAAGTGCACATTTAAAGATGTTATTGTCAAATCTGCTGATGTTATATCAAAATACTAATATATATAGTTAAAGTCAAAATTATTAGCCCCCTTTGAATTTCTTTTTCTTTTTTTAAATATTTCCCAAATGTTGTTTGACAAGGAAATTTTCACAGTATGTCTGATAATATTTTTTTTCTTCTGGGGTAAAGTCTTATTATTATTATTATTATTATTTTTTTGTCTAGAATAAAAGCAGTTTTATTTTTTTTTAGGTCAAAATTATTAGCCCCTTTAAGCTATATACTTTTTCAATAGTCTACAGAACAAACCATCAATATACAATACCTTGCCTAATTACCCTTACCCCCTAGTTACCCTAATTAACCAAGTAAAGGCTTTAAATATCACTTTAAGCTGTATAAAAGTGTCTTAAAAATATCTTAACTATTAAGTTAAGAAATTGGATAAAAAATAAACAAGGGGGGCTAATAGTTCTGACTTCAACTGTATCTTCTCAGAGTGTCCAATAAAGTTCATTGTGTGCTCTGAATTTACATAGTTAAACACACAGCTTTTCATAATACACTGACAGTGTCACGCTAGAAACACTCATCCGGTGTCTGCATTTTACTCTTCAAAAGTTAAGCGAGATAATGTTTTTGGCCTCGATAAAACTCATTGATTGATCTTTCATTCCTCTAACAAGAAAGAATTGGGCAGCATGAGACCCTTTTGCTTTGCCTCAAGTAGTTTGTTTTTGTTCTAGTAAGGCTTGTGACACACCATCAAAAAAACTAAAGGCGACTAAAACTAGTCGTCTCACAATGACTCAACCAATCAGAGTGATCTCTCAATTCAACATGGTGAATGAAGTAAATTGCAAGTGATTTGAGCCAATGGATGCCAACATCACACACACATACACGCACACACACACGCACGCACGCACGCACGCACGCACACGCACACGCACACGCACACACACACACACACACACACACACACACACTCACACACACACACACACACACACACAGCATAACAAACATTCAGTGCCCTATGAAATATTTCAAGTACAGTCAACACATGGACATTGAGACTGACCGTGATGCATGAAACCAGCATTGCAGAGTCCAACACCGAGAGTCACTGCATCTTCACGACTTGCACTGTCACCCTGAAGAGAGGAAAGAAAAATGACGAACCATGTTGAATGAATTGTTTGTTTAACATTACATAACACAAAATGAACTGTTACAATATAGTGCATGCAATTATACAGTAGATCAAATAAAAGGTAAATAAGATATCTGTGTGTGTCCATCTTGATGTTACCTGTGAAACAAGCCATTCTACCAGTTTGCTAGCTGGTATGACGGATTTGAATGTTTTTAGATGATGATCTCGGTCTCTGTATATAATAAAGAAGGGTACAAATCAAATTAAGGCTTGCATGTAAACAAAAACAACATTGGACAGTGTGGTTGGCAGGAAATACATAGGTAATTTCAAGTGGCAATATGTAAAAATATAGGTTTAATCCCAGCTAATGCAGACCAATGAACTGGAAACATCTTTTATCAACTGAGATCTCCTATAACAGTAAATCCACAGATTGCAGCTTGATGGTCTGTTCTCGCAATTAGTGTAGCCTAATTAATTAGTGACCTGGACTTTAAGATAAAAAGCATCTGCTAAAGGGCAAGTAATCAACACATTCTGTGCTAATTTGTGGATCTGTATTTAACCTACTGTAACTGCAGTACAGAGGGCCCTTCCTGCTCTTTATGTGAATTTCAAAGGTGATCCGCAACAGAACAGCAATATGACTTTGCCGTTCACACATACACACACACACTCTCTCTCTGACTTGCAGCTTGTTATAATAGCTGCATCAAAGACAAACATATATTAGCATTAAAATAGCTGGAAGAAATGGATGGAATTCGATTTGATATCAAAATATTTAACTAGAACACTGAATTAGTCAAATAGAAAAAAACTTTTTTTCTGTTTAACACGCACACTATTTGAAGAGATAAAGAATCAGTATTATATAGTTGGATGCAAATATGAGTATTTGCATAGCACATCTGATACTCAACTAGTTTCCCTTTCACTTTAAATACATTTGTTTAGATTGAACATTTTTAATAAAATGGAATCTTATTTTCCACAAATATGGGAATGCTGCCAACAATTTCCAGTATAAGAAAAGGGTATTAGCAAAACATAGTCTGAAATGATCTTTAATAAAGCTTTAATGACATAAGAATTAGGCATTAATGTTGTCTTTAGGGTGTGAACTATGCTAGAGAACATGTGTTACTTACTTGACAACAGGTGTGAAGAGACTGTGGAGACGACAGTAAAGTCTCACTCCCTGTTGGACAAACATACACTTATATAAGCATTTGCACTAACAGCTGCATCTTTATGTATTTCATTTACCGCTGTGCCGTTTGCATCACTTCTTGATTGATTTGTTGACAACACTTGTTAGGTGGGCCATTTTGTACCCTGGCTTTATCAAAATGACCCATATGCACTTAACACAAGATTCAGTTGACTTTCTTTTGTAAACTAACTGGTTACAGCTGACAAAAACTTAAAGCGGTCTACACAGAAACAGAACCTCTTCAGTAAATGATCTGAATCACTCTACACACACTCTTAGAAATACAGCAACCTTTTTAATTTGGTTCCATCAGGAATCTTAAAGCTAATTCACACCGCACAGATGAAAGGCAACAAATAAACATGTTAGAGTTTTTTGGATTGGTGTGTTGTGTCTGTTGCTGTTGGAAAAAGTTTGGTTTCAGATGACTGAACATGTTCAATATGCGTTTGTTGGATTGTGGAATGGAGTAGTGTGATATGATTTTCCAACAAATGGCCACAAACGTCAACTTAATTTGACAAGGGGCTTCACGTAAATGTCTTTTAAACCCTGTGTGTTGAGGCAATGTGAATAGGACAGTACTTTTTTCATAACATTCCAATTACAACACTTAATTATTAGTTGCCGTTTGTCATTAAAGTGTGAATTGGACTTTAAAAGAGAATAATCCTTAGGGTGCTTTCACACCTAGATTTTTGTTTCAGAACCTGTCTCGTTTGCCCAGTTAGCGCGGTTCGTTTGGCATATGTGAATCCAGCAATCCCTCTCGCATCCGCGCCAAATCAATTGTTCCGAGATCGCTTGAATGAGGTGGTCTCGGCTCAATTAAAACAAACTCTAGAGCGAATCGATTGTAGTGAGAAAGCGATACAATCCAAGCTCACTTAGATCACAGTGTTTTATGGATATGTAATAGGCATACGGCTATATGAAGAGAGAATTTTGAGTAGGGCGAGAGGTCATTCTAGACATCCCAAATCTCCCGGAAGTTTCCGGAGTCTCCCGCAAATGCACAGAGATTCCAGATGCCTGCAAACTTCTGGAAATCGCGCGTCTCCCTCCCGGTCCTCAAATACGTCGCGCACCCTTCTCGCATTAGGATATATTTACTAGGGGTGTCAAAATTAATTGTTTCTTTGGTGCACCGCGATGCAGACGCGGACAATTCGGTATCGGTTCAGTAATAATCATAACCGGTTATTATGTACTGACGTCATTTATCTCCTATGCTCTCTGTCGCGAGGGAGGTGAGCGCGAGTATTTACAACACTCAGCCAACTCAGGGCCAGTTAGTGGCATAGGCACCATAGGCAAATGCTAAGGGCGCTGTATATCCAGAAGGGCGCCAGAAATGAGCGCGGTTCAGTTGGTTTTGTTTTCAATATTCTTGACACACATTCAGTTACAGACGGCAATAACTCAAAAACCTCTTACCCTAAAAAGATCTTAAGTGTGTTTCCTACAAAAAGACAAAGCTGGTTATGTTTCACTGCTGTCTTTCTTTTTTTTCGCTCCACACTACGAGCACTGCTCCGTTTAAGCCCTCGCAATATGTGTTTAGCCGGGGTAGCTCGCGCTGAGAGGAGCTCTCAGCAAGGGATCGTCGGAAAAGTGGTTATTTTTTTCGTTTTTCTGCTCCGCTCTTCGCGAGCTCTCCCTGTTGCGAGGGCTTAAGTGTGTGTGTGCGTGAGTGTGTGTGTGTGTGTGTGTGTGCGTGTGTGTTTGTTTCTTTGGTGCTGTCTATGTTTGTGTTTGAATGAGAGACAGTGTGGTGCTGTGTCTCTGTGTGTTTATACAGACAGCTTGTTATAGCCTCTCCTCTAAAATATAACACCGTATATGGAAAGCATCGTCAATGCACCGTGATGCACCGAAATATCGAATTGAACCGAATCGAAGGCATGATAATCGTAACTGAACCGAACCGTGAGACCAGTATAGGTTCACACCTCTAATATTTACTGGATACAAGATATAAAGTAAATCTTTTTTTTTAGCTTATATCTTGTATCCGGTACAAGATATGCTCTGTGGGAAATACCTTAGAAATGATGTCCTCCATTTCACTCCTGGCTTTATATGTGCCATCATCATAGCGAAAGCGGTACAACACCTGCTCGTTCTTGAACTGGTGCTTATCTGACACTATGAAGAAAAACACACACAGAGACACACCATGAGCTGAAAGTGAGCTTGTGATGCATTTTCTTAGCCTCCCTTTGCTTTCCAGGCACTGATAAACATGTAAGTGGAGATGTGTGATTAATCGAAGTGTGCACGTGCCATCGCCACACAAAAGCCTGCATGACCTCTCCTTGAATGCTGCCAGCGTATTATTGATCGGCCGCCTGAGCCCTTACACTTGGATTTATTACTCCAATGCCTCTGGTGTTTGTCAGTTTTCACTGTGTCACAATCCCCTGGCTGTAATATAAAGGTATGATGCTCCCCAAAGCACTGCATCTTATGAATAATTCAGAAGTATGCCGTTCTCAACAACATCCAGTATGTCCTGTTACTATCCAGACTGCCCATCATCTGTAGGGGTTCTCAGTGAGCGCCGGCCAACGAGACATACGTGCCAGATTTGTAGTGTAAATCTGTCGAATGGTGATTTTTAACAGTCCTCTGTTTGAATAAACAGTTAATAGATCGTGGTTCACTTGGCAAGACAGCATCGAAAAACAGCACGGACAGCATTCGTGTTTTAGAGAGAAACCAAGAAATACACAAAAGCATGTCGATGAAATATATGAGGGGTAAGTCAGGTTAAAAGAGGAAAAGACAGAAAAATAAAGACTTACTTGTAAGAATAACAGGTTTGTGTGAATCACTGACCCTTACACACCATTGGAGAGAGTGTTGAGTAACAATCAATAACTAATAAATTAAGCTAGCTCATTTAATATATGAAGAGTTCAGATGCAAAAACCTCTGAAAGCCATTTGAAATTTCCTTCAAAAATGAGCATTTTTATCAGACTTTTTTTCCTGTGTGTAGGTTCTGTAATTTCAAGTTTGTAGCAAAGAATACACTTTTTTTCCCAAGGTCTTTAAAATGAATTAACTCAACATAATCTTAGGAGTCTGAAAAAAATGCTCATTTTTTATTGAAATTTCAGACGGCACTTAACTCTTCATATACTGTATTGTTTATATATTTTTGTCGAATTAATGAATACAAGGCTTTTAATATGCAACTGATTAGTCCACAACCTGTTCATACAAGCCAGCAGCTGGTTGATTTTAGCACATTCCTTGATCAAAATATAGTACTAAAGTATATTCACATAACAGATGGATGGCCGAAATAATCACGGTAGAAGCTTCTCTCACCATGATGGATGATGCCGTTCTCCAGAAGAGCTTGACCCAGGTTGATTCCCTCCTCAGCTTTACTGATCTCTCCACTCTCCAGCAGCCATGAGACGAACTCACTGAGGACACACAGAGACAACAGTCGTATCAATCTACACACACATGCTAAAGAGGGGATTTATGGGCCACTAGTCAAAGGTACTGGGGAATTTGGATTCACTCAATCCTGCAGAGTGACTGGTGAAGACTGATAAAAGAGTTCATTGAGAACACAAATCAAGATCATACCAAGCAGGGTTGCCAGTTTTGTTTTTTAAACAAAACTAGTCAAATGGCCTGGAAAAATAATCTAGAACTGGCATAATGGCCAATCAAAACCAGCCCAGTAAAAACCTAATTCAAAATATCCCAACGCCTATTTGTAAAATTGATATTTTGCATCACTCTATACACTAAAATTTTTTTTTTTTTTTTGGTATTTAAATTGTTTTTATTAAAGGAAGAACAAAGCAAAATAATACACACAACGATTTGACAAGACTTTTTTGCTACATTTTTTTCCCATGAACAACCTCCCTCCCCTTAAAAAAATAAATAAATAAATAAAATAAATAAAATAAAATAAATAATTTTATAAATTAAAAATTTACATAGTCACAATTTTTTTAGGGCAGTGAGGATGTATTTAACATCATTGAGTTTGATTGCATTTTCCTTTAAACCATAGACAACCATAGACCTTTTAATTTCCCTATTAGTTTTAGTGTTACACTATTTTCAAAGTATGAGATCATTGGATTCCATACTGTATAAAACTTTTAGTGGATCCTCTAAGAGAGTTTATAATTTTCTCCCATTTTAAAAACCGCATCATATCACTAAATCAGAGTGAAATTAAAGGTGGTTTAGTTGATTTCCAATCAAGCAATGTTCTTCTCCAAGCCATAAGACAAACAAAGTCATAAGCGTCTTGATAATTATTCAATTCAATTCAATTCAATTCCGTGTGCCCGTGTGAAAAATATTTCTACACAGATTCCAACCATCCTGGGCGCTGCCGAGAGCCCTGGTGCCGTTGTCCTCCACGTGGGGACAAACGACACCGGGCTCCGGCAGTCGGAGATCCTGAAGAAGGACTTCAGGAGCCTGATCGAGACGGTTCGACGCACCTCGCCCGCCACGCAGATCATCGTTTCTGGGCCGCTTCCTACCTACCGCCGAGGAAATGAAAGGTTCAGTAGACTTTTAGCTTTGAATGAATGGCTAATAACATGGTGTAAAGAACAGAAATTGCTCTTTGCTAATAACTGGAATCTTTTCTGGGAGCGTCCTAGGCTCTTCCGTCCTGACGGCCTGCACCCCAGTCGAGCCGGAGCTGAACTCCTGTCGGACAACATCTCCAGACTACTTCGCACCATCTGACTAGCAGGTAAAAATTCACAAAATTCACACTATAGCCACCTAGACTCTTGTTCATCCCACTTAAACATCAGTAACGCATATCTGGCGAATCCTATAGAGACTGTGTCTGTTCCTCGTATTATTAGATTAAGAAATAAACGTACTGTGTGCTCCAGGAAAAATCTAGTAAGAATCAAACCAGAAAAACCAGTAGAAAGTGAAAATACAAATTTCGTAAAACTTGGTCTCCTAAACATCAGGTCACTTGCACCTAAAGCACTTATCATTAATGAAATAATAACAGAAAACAATCTTAATGCACTCTGTCTCACTGAAACCTGGCTGAAACAAAATGACTATATTAGCTTAAATGAAGCAACTCCTCCAGGATTCTTATATAAACATGAGGCTCGTCAAACTGGTCGTGGTGGTGGAGTTGCATCAATCTTTAGTGATTTCCTTAATATTAAACAGAGAAACGGACTTATGTTTAGCTCCTTTGAAGTATTATCGCTTAATGTTCAGCTTCCAGATACTATACAAAAACCTATGTTATCTCTCGCTTTAATCACCATATATAGACCCCCAGGACCCTATGTCAAATTTCTAAAAGAATTTTCTGATTTTATTTCTGACTTACTAGTCAAAACTGATAAAATGCTAATTGTAGGTGACTTTAACATCCACATAGATGACGCTAATGATACATTAGGGCTCGCGTTTATGGATTTAATACACTCACTTGGGATAAAGCAAAACGTTGTGGGTCCAACCCATCGCTTAAAGCATACATTAGATCTAATTCTGTCTTATGGAATCGAGGTTATTGACGTAGACATTATACCACAAAGTGATGATATTACAGATCACTACCTCTTACTATATAAGCTATGTTTACCTGAAATCAGCAAACCCGCTCCAATACTCCGCCCTAGTAGAACTATTGTTCCGTCAACTAAAGATGAATTTATAAATAACTTACCTGATCTCTCTCTATTTCGTAATGCACCCGCAAACTCAAATGATCTTGATGTAGTAACCAGCAGTATGGATGCCATCTTTACTAGCACACTAAATACTGTGGCACCCATAAAATTAAAAAAGGCTAGAGAGATTAAAACTATACCATGGTATAATAGTCATACTCGTGCGCTCAAAACAGCAACCCGCGCCCTGGAACGTAAATGGAAAAAAAACTAATTTAGAGGTCTTTAGAATTGCGTACAAAGACAGTATGTCCAGCTATAGGAGGGCTCTAAAATCTGCCAGGACCGAGCACCTGCGCAAACTGATAGAAAATAATCATAACAATCCTAGATTTTTATTTAACACCATCTCTAAATTAGCAAATAATCGGTCATCCTTGGAACAAACTACTCCACCGCAAATTAGTAGTGATGACTTCATGAATTTTTTCAGTAATAAAATAGAAGGCTTTAGACAGAAAATAGGAGATGCCAAACTTTCTGCACCGGCTTATACTCCAAATCCTGTAAATATTTCATTAAATCATAATAATAACCTACACTGCTTCAAAATCATAGAACATGAAGAGTTAGTGAAAATTATAAATAGCTCTAAACCAGCTACGTGTATGCTGGACTCAATTCCAACAAAATTACTGAAAGAGCTGCTACCTGCTATAGGAGAACCTCTTCTTAACATTATCAACTCTTCTTTATCTATAGGCCATGTTCCAAACTCTTACAAGCTAGCTGTTATTAAGCCTATTATTAAGAAACCGCAACTAGACACCAACAACTTAGCTAACTATAGGCCTATTTCAAATCTTCCATTTATGTCTAAAATACTAGAAAAAGTTGTTTCCACTCAATTATGCTCTTTTCTGCAGACGAACAATATTTTTGAAGTGTTTCAGTCAGGTTTCAGGGCTCACCACAGTACAGAAACCGCCTTAGTGAAAATAACCAACGATTTACTCTTAGCTGCTGACCGAGGGTGCGTCTCGCTATTAGTTTTACTCGATCTTAGTGCGGCATTTGATACCATTGACCACAATATCCTCATAAATCGCTTAAAGTCTACAGGTGTCCAGGGACCGGCTCTACAATGGTTTAAGTCATACTTAACTGACCGCTACCAGTTTGTAAATCTTAATGGACAGCCTTCACAAATCTGCCCAGTAAAGTATGGGGTGCCTCAAGGATCAGTTTTAGGCCCTTTACTGTTTACAATTTACATGCTACCTATGGGAGACATTATTAGAAGACATGGGATCAGCTTTCACTGCTATGCAGATGATACTCAATTATATATTTCCACTAAACCTGACGAGACGTCTGAACTTTCTAAACTAACTGAGTGTATCAAAGACATCAAAGACTGGATGACCAACAATTTTCTTCTCTTAAACTCAGACAAAACAGAATTATTACTTATTGGGCCTAAATCTTGCACACAGCAGATCTCGCAACTCAATTTACAATTAGAGGGATACAAAGTTAGCTTTAGCTCTACTATAAAAGATCTGGGTGTCATATTAGACAGCAATCTAACTTTTAAAAACCATATATCCCATGTCACAAAAACTGCCTTCTTTCATCTGAGAAATATCGCTAAATTACGAAATATGCTATCCATCTCAGATGCAGAAAAGCTAGTCCATGCTTTTATGACTTCGAGACTGGATTACTGTAATGCTCTATTTGCTGGCTGCCCAGCATCCTCTATTAACAAACTTCAATTAGTGCAAAATGCAGCAGCCAGAGTTCTGACCAGGTCTAGAAAATATGATCATATAACCCCAATTTTATCCTCCTTACACTGGCTGCCTGTTAAATTTCGTATTGAATTTAAAATATTACTTCTCACCTATAAAGCTCTAAATAATCTAGCTCCTGTTTATCTAACCAACCTTCTGTCTCGCTACGAACCAACTCGCTCCTTAAGATCTCAAAATTCAGGGCTTCTGGTAGTACCTAGAATAGCAAAATCAAGTAAAGGAGGTCGAGCCTTCTCTTTCATGGCTCCTACACTCTGGAATAGCCTTCCTGGTAATGTCCGAGGCTCAGACACACTCTCCCAGTTCAAAACTAGATTAAAGACCTATCTGTTTAGTAAAGCATACACTCAGTGCATCACCTAGCAGGTTCCACACTGGCTTCTACATCTTGCTTATATACACTATGAACAGCAGCTACGCTAATTATTTTCTTTATTCTCTATTTTCACCTGGGGAAACTCATCCCGAGGTCCTCAGATTATGCAGAGTCACTGATTGGATCCAAGACCAGCGACGTGATGATCCCAAGGATTCCATATCCGGGACCAGGCCATATCCTGAGCTGCTGCTGCGCTGATGGTCGTGGGGAGTGGAGAACATGAGTCTGATTCCAGCGACGCTCCAGGGACAGACGAGTCTTCATTGAGGCCATCTTCCAGCATAAACCACGGCGAATGAAGTTCTGCACAAGACTTTTGGCCAGCGGAGAAATTAAAATGGTCGTGCCCAACTGAGTCTGGTTCTCTCAAGGTTTTTTTTCTTCACTCCCATCAGGTGAAGTTTTTTTTCCCTCTCCGCTGTCGCCACTGCCTCGCATGGTTCAGGATTGGTAGAGCTACGCATCGATGAATTTGCTCTTCAGTGTTTGAACTCTCAGTAATGATTAAATCACACTGAACAGAGCTAAACTGAACTGAACTGAACTTAAACACTAAAACCTGAACCACACTGTTCCAATTACTATGACCATTTATG